ACTCAAAAGCCCCCCTTGAGGTTGACCTCATGATTACTTGGTTGACATTGGAAGGGGAGCACAATTTTAAATTTGAGCAGTTAAGTGGAAAACCACAATATGCAACATGTAAAATGTTTCCCAATAACAACCATGATGAAGGGGTGAAATACCCCACCGGGCCAACGACTTGGCAACGATCCAAGCAAACCTGCCTGCAGGCGGGCTGAGGCCTGCTCCTCTGCCACAGTAGTTACATCCTCGCGCACGGAACGGCGTATGGCATGTGTCTGAACATAGTGTAAATAGCTGCGGGTCAAAACCAATGTTACCATTTTGGGGTGGGTGCACTACTCAGTTTAGTCCATTTTGGTGGGGGCGGTCCAGGAAGGGACATCGGTGTGCCTTCTTGCTGCGTGGTATTGACCCCGAGCACGGTGAATCACAACGGGACCTTGACGCCCTGGGTGAAATCACTAGAGGTTGCCTGTGGACAACCCGTTGAACATGGAAACCGCCTCCTCAAAACGCGGGAGCGCAAGAACTTTGCCGGCGTCGCCAGGAAATCTGGCGCCCTGCAAAGAAGCCTGGCCTTCAAAACCCCCCCAGTGAACTTCCAAAGGCTGAAGGCGGACTAAAGCCAACACTCCCAACACATATGACAAGATGTCACTGGGTCCTCTCTGGGCACCAAGCCAGAAACCCGACCACATCAAAGGGGGGGAAGAAATAGGGTCGTCCAAATGTGCCATGGAAAACCTCGTTTGCTCGTTGCCGTGGCAAAGTCAACTCCGGAAAGCGTATTCTTTGGGTGCCACAAATAAGTTTGCCAAAATTGTGGCCTTTTGGCTGGTATTTGAAGGGAACATAAAGGGCACTGCTGCCAGTTTAGGACTCTGGTTCCTATTTTAGCAAATCTCAACGGAGCAACTGGGAGGGAGCCTCCAGCGTCATCGCCTGCAGCTCAGGCGAAGTGCTCCTGGCGTACAAAGCTGACAGTTCTCTACGGCCCGGTTTGGCGTGGAAATGTTGAGGCTACCCTTGCCGCTAGTCCCATTGGGACTCACGTGTTGGGCTTGTCTAATATAACACTCCAGATTGAGGTGCGCATGGATTGCCAGTGCACACATGTTATACGCACATGTCACAATACAAGTATAAGTGTGACATGTATATATATATATACACACTCAACTTGGAGAATGCAGAACCATGTTGCACCAATGCCCCCAGTGTGGGTGCTTGTTGCCTGCCGTGGGGAACCTAAGAGCTAAGGCATGCTGTGCCCAGGCAGGCACGTTTTTAAAGCGCTAGAAAGAAGAAAGCCGTCCAAGAAGGAAAGTTGCACATGCTTGTGCATGACGTCCCATTGGCAGCTTTTGTTTGCCCAACATAAATGTGTGTGTGTGTGTTCTGATTTGAAGCCAGGGCTACAGAACAATGCTAACAAGAAGGGCAGAACAGCTGCGTGTAGATGCAAAGGTCTCTGTTTGGTTTTAGCCGTCATCGGGTACAACATTGGAGTTGTCCTCTTTCATTTTGCCTGCCACCAGACATCCTAATCACGCCAATCAGCAAAACACCACCCTCAACTCCAGGGTGCGCAACGCACATCTTTGACAACGCTCACGCATTGCAAGGCGCACAAGGCATACAGCCCGAGATGCATTAACATCAAGTCCGCTTATGGAACACGGGGATTGATGTGGGCAATGTAAAAGGGCATCCAATGCTGGAAGTTTGACAGTTAGAAATGGAATTGAGGCATGCGAGGGATTAAAGCGCGTGGTTTATGGCTGGAGTTTGAAAATGCCAAAGGGCATCCACCGACAACGGAGCAAACAAAGCGCAATAAGCGCGAAAGCCGAAACATTTAGAGAGAGCATGCATCATCTTGACATATTTGCAATTCGCCAAACAACTCGCACCCAACAACAAAACAATTGTTTCCCATACATTGAGCTAAACTTTTTGGCAGAAATAATGAAAGGACAAAAGGTATTGAAGCAGCGCAACGGACATTTGTGCAAGTTTTGAGAGTGCCGGCAGTTCCTCGTAAAATCGTGCCGGCTGAGCACGGCCAAGCAAGGCTGAGCAGCTGAGCATGGCTGAGCAGCTGAGCACGGGTGAGTTGAGCACGGCTGAGCACGGCTGAGCAGGCTCGGTTGGGTCGGGATGTTTGGGCGGTGCTCGGGGTGCTTGGGATGGGTATCCAGCGCTCGAGCAGCAGGGTTTTTAAATGTTCATTGTATTTTTGAAGAATATGTGGGGCACTCCACTCGGGAGTTGTCCCACCTGATCAGTGGACTGCTTTGTTGCAACCGACTTGCTTCTCCAGTGGGAGTCAGTGCCAGCGATCAGTGTTGTCGCCCCGTCTGCGCAGAGCGTGTGCCCTCGGGACCACAACTTTCAATAGCCGTGCAATGAACAGTGAGTCTGACCACTCGTGACTTGCATCACACTGTTCACCGTCTATCGCGGTCCAATATGGTCCACATTTGAGAGGTGCGAAATGCCGACCTTTCCACGACCATTTTGCGCGCACAATCCAAGTTCTCCACTTTCAAAGGCCACGCGTTTGAGGCATTCGCTCCAAGCAGCATGCCCGGAGCATGCCCATGAGTTCGCGTAAGTGATCATAAGTGTAGCTGTCAACTGGGAAACCACCAAAACACAACCCCCCCCCGGAACACTTCCGATACACCACCCAAACACCGCCTTGCGTTCAGCCAGAATGTTGGTAAGAAGCATGAAAGATGCAAACATAATTCGCCTCGGCCCCAAAGGGGCCAAGGGCGCTCAGATCTCTTCTCCAGAGAACAAAATTTTGCCGGGCCGCCCCCCCCCCCCACCCATGTCGGCTGGACCCAAAATCCTGTCCGGCGGGCCTTGAAATTTTCGGGGTTCGTCGGCGTCCAGCTCCATGGGTCCATTTTTGTCTGAAAATCACTAAAAAATTGCTTTTTTGTCCTGAAAAGCATGACCTCCTTGAGGCCTGCCTGACGTGTCTGAGACTAGGCTCAGGCCCAGCCCAACCAGCAACCCGCCTGCTGGCCAGGCCTGTCAGCCCAGCCCACCCAGCCTCAGGCCCAAGCTTGTCTGAAACAGGCCTACCCCAAGTCATCCAGCAAGCCCAGCCCAGCTCCCAGCCCAGGCCCCGGCGCATCTCTAGGCCGGCCCCACAAGGTCAGGTTTGTCTAAGGTGTCTGAGACTGGCCTCAGGCCAACGACCAGTCTCACGTGTCTGAAACTGGTCTCAAGCTATGCCAGCCACCAAGCCCGTCTGACGTGCCCCAGCCCCTCAGTCCGGCTGCCCAAGCAACTCAGCCCAGGCTGGCCAGGCCTTGACCTCCTGCTCGCGTCTGGCCCAAAGCAGCCTGAGACTAGCCTCAGGCCCAGTCCTTCAGCCGCCTGCTGGCGTGTCTTACGTGTCTGCGACTGGCCTCAGGCCCAGCCCAGCACCCAGCCTCAACCCCAAGTGTGTATGAAACAGGCCTTGCCCATCCAGCAACCCGCCCAAGCACAGCTCAGCCCAGCCCGCCCAGCCCAAGTTCCAGGCACAACCAGCAGCCTGGTCCGGCTGCCCGGCAGCCAGCAACCCGCCCATGGCTTCGCAGCCTCGTGGCTGAGACTAGCTTCAGGCCCAGCCCAAAGCCTGGGCCCCAGCGCATCTCAGGGCATGCCAGCCACTACCGGCCCCCAGCTCCCAGCCCAGCAGGCTCAGCCCAGTGTGCCAAGGTCAGGTTTGTCTAACGTGTCTGAGAGTGGCCAACGACCAGTCTCACGTGTCTGAGACTGGTCTCAAGCTATGCCAGCTACTCAGCAGCCCAGGCTGACCAGGCCCCTTCGGCGCAGTCTGAGACTGGTCTCAAGGTACGCCAGCCTGAGACTAGCCTCAGGCCCAGTCCCTCAGCCCGCCTGCTGGCGTGTCTTACGTGTCTGCGACTGGCCTCAGGCCCAGCCTAGCCAGCAACTCGCTACCCAGCCTCAGCCCATCCAGCGACCCGCCCAAGCACAGCTCAGCCCAGCCAGCCGAAGTTCCAGGCGCAACCAACACCATAATCCAGCTGCCCAGCACCACCCATGGCTTCGCAGCCTCGTGGCTGAGACTAGCTTCAGGCCCAGCCCAACCAGCAACCCGCCTAAGCCAACCCCACCCAAGCCCACCCGGTTTGAGACTCGCAGGCCTCAGCCTATCTGGCGCCGAGACTGGGCCTTGGGCTCAACAGCGTCTAGCCCAGCCCAGTCCGCCTGCAGGCCTGTCTGACGTGTCTGAAACTGGCCTCAGGCCCAGCCCAGCCATAGCCCAGCCCCCTCAGTGCGGCTGCCCAGCCCGCCGTAAACTAGCTTCAGCTCAACCAACAACCCACGCAAGCAAGGTCCAGCCAAGCTGCCCGAGACTAGCTTCAGGCCCAGCGCAGGCTTATCTGATGTGTCTGAGACTAGCCTGTGGCCCAGCCCAACCAGGCGAGGCCGGCTTGTCTGACTTGTCTGGAGCCAGCTTCAGGTATTCGGACCTTCCCAACACTGGATTTCGGTGTTCCTGACCCTTCCCTCAAACTAGGCTGGGCCGAGGCGGGCAACGCGAAGCGTTTACAATTACAGCATAATAGTGTTGGGATGAAAGTAAGGATACAAAGAAGAAATGAAGCATACAAGTGGCGGCGGGGAGGAAACTGTCACATGCCCACGTGCATCCGGGAAGTGCACCATCTCAAGAATTGCACCATAAATCGCTTACGAGACCCTCAAGCTGAAAAAATAAACAGTTCGTAACGATCCCCCTTGTATCGAGTCAAAATGCTGGTAGGAAGGATAAAAGCTAAAAATGAACTTGAAGCATATATTTAGAAGTCATAAAACAGAGTAAAGCGGGTGAGGGAAGAACCTTACCAATCAGGAGGTTCATCCAACCATAACGCACCCAAAACTGATTCAAAGTCACAAAATTCACAGCGAAGATCTACCAGAGGGGCACCACCAACAAGGCAGCAGGGCATCACCAAAAAAGGAATCGGCGCACCACCAGGACAGGACCAAAACACTACTAAAACAACACCGGGACACCCCCGGAAACATTGCCGGGACACCATAATTAACAACCACGAGCGGAACACCACCGGGACGCCACAAAACCACCAGAGACATGACTGGGACACCACCGGGACACCGCCCAAACACAACCCACCAAAACAATACCGGAACACCACCAGGACGCCACCGAAACAGCAAACCACAACCAACACACTACTGAGACACCACCTGAACGATACCAAAAACAAGACCGGGACAACAACAGCACAACAACAGCACCAGCCAGAATGTTGGCTGAAAGGTGCAAACGGAAATAAAGCAGAACAGCAGGGTTGGGGATGAAAGGGAAGGTACGAGATGAACTGAAGCTTAGCAGAGGGCTTGGGGATGCAACCGGCCTTCAAACGCAAGAGCAAAATGCTGCGAGCGGAGCGAAGTGTGGAGATACCCAGAAGAGCGAAGAGAGGAACTGAAGCGGCGAATCAGGCCATGGGCAAAACCAGGGGGACCAGGGGAAATCCAACCCCGTGTTTCTGGGGGGGCGAGAAATGCAAAGCGTTGGTTTGGGACCCCACCCCCCGACCCCCTCTAGAAAGACCCTGCTAACGCACTCACCGAAGGGCTAACTTTCGTGATGAAGAAGGACACGCGCAAGCAAAACAGGCTAACAAGAACGACAAGCTTCACAGCCTTCAAGGCTCAAGTCTTCTGGAAAGATAAAGTAATACAGGCTCTCTGCTGCAAGCGAGTGTGGTCTAATAGCTGGGCAAACGATACTTTTCGACCGACCAAGGGTTTTGGTGAAGCCATGCCATATGCATTGTTCGCCGCCTGTAAAGGGACTCGAGATCCACAAAGGGTCACTCTTTCCCTGAAAACATGTCATGCCCCGATGTCAAACAGAAATTCACCAGGCACACACACACACACACGCATGGCACTGCGTGTGGCACTGCAAAACAGTTTGGAGCCAACAAAAAAACACCTCCCAGTTCAACCATTCGGCCGACCCTCCTGCTCTTCACCACACGTGTGGCCATGGCCCGCTGGAGTGCCTGGTGAGATGGGAGGGGGCCGGATTGTTGGGCGACTCTCCTTCAAATCCCGAGTCGAAAATACGCCCTGTAGAGTTTGGCCAGGGTTCAGAAAAAAAAACCTACATGGATGAACAAAGTAAGGTGGCTATCAAAGAGAAACTTACAGAAACACCGAGGAGTGTCTCACAATGACATGATCAGGACACCGGCAGGGAGCCACCCGTTTTGGAGGAGGCCATGTTGAGAACACCCACATCTAGCTTTCTATGATTCGCCCAAAATAGAAACGTCGTGTACTTGTATGGAAAGCAAACCTCAGGAGTCACACATCCTTTGAGGATGTGTGAGTGCAACAAACGGAACAAGTATGGTGTTAGAGGAGACGCACAATAAGTCGGGTTTGTTAAATCGTTGTCTACGTGTGCCGCCGCCGAAGCTGTGATCATGCCCAAGGAAGCAGCATCGGTTTGCACGTTGGCCACACTCAATTGCAGCTCACCCGGTGGTCCGATTGGGTATCCGGCCATGATGACAAACAACCTTCAAAGTGGCAATAGCGATTGTCGCTACAATATGATTGATCTTTGGTGTGAGGCATGCATATACCATGTCCTGTGAAATTTGCCCGGGGTCGTTCAAAGTGTTGTTCAATGCTCTTGTGGTGGATCTGTTTGGCCAAAATGAGACTTGGCGGGCAACACCAAAGGTAGCTCAAAATCAGAGCCTTTGGCAACACGTGTGTGTTTCAAATTAGAGCTATACTTTCCGTGTCTGGGAAGCGATGATTTGACAAGTCACAGCTATGTGAGCATCATGCCCAGCAGTGAGTGCTCTTGGCGGACTGACACACCACTTACACACACAAACTAACATACATCATCCAACCAAAACCGTTGCGAGCGGACAAGTTTTCCAGCCTTGTACATATAGGCTCAGAGATGGGTATGTAGTTTTCTGCAACAGCTGCATGTAGTAGAATTCAGCAATGATGTACTCAAGCAAATCCACAGCATCCCAATTGCAAAGCCAGCATGATCCACACGTCTATGTGTCCAGGCAAGCAACTAGTTGCGTTCAATCCACCTCATCTTCTATGAGGTGAAAAGCGCCGCAACATGTGCCCGGACTGCCTCAATGACGTTGCGGACGGTTCTTCCGTTGCCGTTGTCGCGGGAGGGGTGGCAGTCGGCATCTGCGATATTGTTGCCTCACAAACACCATGTGGCGAGTGGGCCAAGAACCAAAACCCCTGCAAATGGATGGGTTAGCACCTGATTCTACCATAGCTTTGTCGCGATCCCGGGTCCCTCAAAACAGTCCCAGTTTGGGCACCTCCTGGTGCCAAACACCTCCGCGCTTGATCCTGAGTACAACCTATACTAGTCAGGCAACAGGAGGTCTACTGCTACGATGTACGAAAGGAATAGCCGCTTGTCAAGTACCATTTCACATTTCATGATCACACAAGAAGAGCCTGCTTTCCCACGACACGGGAGCCAACCATGACCTTCAGACGTTCAAACGCGTCGCCCGGTTTGGGACGAACACGTGGTCCTTCTTTCCGGCCAGTTGTACACGCGCACACATGGCACGATGGAACCCCAGCTTGAAACGCCACCATGGTTGCACGCTCACAGTGCATGCCCAGGCCCACATGGTGTTTGCATACATCACTCCAAAGGAATATGCAATGACCCGTGCAACAACAGTTTTGCTACGTGGCTGGAGCGGGTCATCTTTGGAGAAGGCTTTCTTGGGTCGAAGCTTCTTCGAAGAACATGGTCCTGGCGTGAACCCTGATCACTCAGAACAGAAAAAATACAAACCACCGGCCTCAAAGGCAGCTTTCTATATGCGGGGTGATCAAAAGGTCCTTTGCATGGGGTAACCATTAGGGAAACCACCCAACAAAATGACTTTCACCACTCAATGGCAAAGTTACCCATGGCCATTTGGGGGCCAGGAATATTAATCAACCCTCATATTCCTTTAGAAGGCAACCTCTTTAAAGATTGGAGGATACTAAAAGAACCCGAACAGAGTACAACAACAGCAACAAGGGACATTCCAGGACAAAACGACACAAAACACATCCAAACCGTTTCATGTTCCTTGCGGTTTCCCTAAACATCCAGTAGATTCCAACTTGTCTTATGCCAAGCAACAATTCCGGGAGCTGGGTCCCTCCTATTTGGGAGAACACCACAGAATGATCAACCCCTTGTTTTGGGGGGAGCCGGTCAAATCCCATGTTCAGATTAGTTTCCTAGCTAGTTTCTTTTCAAAGCGACCCCTTTGGGTATTAGGGCCCCCAAAAAATTGGCTTCTTCTTTGGTTCCCCTTCAAAACCAACTAAACAAAAGTCCAATTCTTTGAGAACCCTGCCAGCTTAAAGCCCCGACCCGTTCTCTCGGCCAGTGGCAGCAGCCGCTGGTGAAGGCGATGAGATCTTCCAAGCGCGGGGTCACCTGAGCCCGCGCTAAGTCACACCAAAAAACGCCACCCAGTTGTGGTTGGTCATACTCTCCAGAAAAATGTGGCTGTGGTTGTCAAAACCGTTTTGGTTTTAGAAGCTATTCACTGGCGGTACGGGCTTTTGACCCATGGCCATGTGACGAACTGAACCCCAAGAACTACACATTTCTAGAGGAACCTCCTTTTTGGGATTGGACCCAACAACTTGCTGGCCGGAAGTTGATTTGCAGGGAGTAAGTGAGGCTTTATATGGTGGGTGTGATTTGTTTATTGGGTCCCGGACCCAAGCTCGTGGGCATCAGAGTTCGGTGGGGACTTAGGTGACCACTATCCAATCCCGAGATGGGTTCCCAATCAAAATTTATGCCCATGCGCTTCAAACCCAATGGCCGCCTCGAAGAACACCGTCGTGGGTGGACCAAATCCATGCCAGGCACCAGACATTGCTGGTGCATCCTCGTGCATAGGGCGATAAATCCATCGGGCAAGTGGTGGATTTTGTGCATGGGTGCCCTGGGCCCAACAAGGGCAAAGTGTTCTGGAAGCGCTAGAACCTTGGATGGCCAAAACAAGGTTTCCTGTCAGATGCCTCACGGGGAATTCTGCGCCAGCCCACCCACCGTTTTCGGGGTGTTCTGTACTGCCCCGACTGCTCGAGCAAATATTCACCCACCCCGGCTGAGAAACCCTTCATGGGTTGATGCTTGTCGTACCCCTGTTCGAACTTCGGGGAGCGCTCTGAAATCACTTTGTTTAACCCGCCTCTTTGGTTTTTGCTTGAGAGGCCAAGGTCAGCAGGTAACAAGATGGCCCAAAGCTGGGCGGTGCAACCGGTCGGTCTGGTAGGGTTCAGGGTGTGAGCGGGACGACAATCCAGCCAAAGAAGTCATGAAAAACAAACACATTTGGATGCCACGGAGCCCCAATAAAGCCTGTTGTGGGATTGAGGAATGGTTGGAGGGTCGACAAACGGATGATATACGGACAGTACAAGTTGTATTGTGAACAATGGGACAGAAGCCAAAGAGCAAACGTCACCAAACAAACTCGCACAGATTCGCAACTACAAGGTGGTCCTTTTGACGCCCAGCCGAAAAAGCCAGGTCAATCCCAATGAATAAGGGCTTGTCTCAAAGTAGTAGACCTGCCACATGTTGTGGATTTCTCATAAATTTTCTCATACTTTTGGCTTCCTTTCAAACCAAGCAAAGGCGGCCGGAAAAAAAACACCCGCCCCGAATCCCTCGTTCAAAAAGGGACACCTTCACTCAGGGATCACCGAGGCACCGCGGCCGGCATGGTGAGGCCTTGCGAGCCCAAGACCTCAGCTTGAGTTGGTAACTGGTTTACTCACTGCCCATCGAGGCGAGTGGCCGACCAAAAAAGTCCATGCGTTTGGGACCCCCGCTCACATGGACTTCCCAAAAAGTAAGCCCAACTCGCTAGAAGTGAGTTTTCCCCCGGGGTTCATAGGGTTTCACCCAACTGGTGTGAAGTGGATTTGGCCCATGGAAACAAGTATATTGCACCGCGAAATGGCATAAAATGACAATAGCACAAGTCAACACAGCACATCAACAGCAGGCAAGAATAAAGTCTGGCCAAAACCAGGAACTCCCGGAGGCTTGGTTTCAACCGGCTCCAAATTGAAAGCCCAACATCAACGTCGTTTTGTACTTACCAGCAACAGCTACAATCCAAAACTTAAAAAAACACTAGCCACATGATTGTAGGTGTGTGTGATGTGTGTGTGCATGTTTGAGAGTAGCTCTGTCTTGGGCGGTTTCAGAAGGGAACAAAAGGACAACCGCAATTTTGGGGATTCGGCTTCAGCTCTTTTGAAACAACCCACATGAAGCCCACAGGGCACTGATGACTTGCCAAGAGTCGAGGTTGCCAATCTGGCCCAGCTCTGTGCAGCTGTAATCCTGGCCATGCGTGTGATCCCATACCCAGTGGATGCAGGCAGGCCACTATAGTAAGGGAAATTTATGATATGAAACCTAAAGGTAGACAAAAAACTGGTTGCTATAGTCGTAGCTGAAAGCACTATAGATGTATTTCCAGATGATGAAACCTAAAGGTAGAAATAACTGGGTACCTGCAGTGGCAACTGGCAGCACTAGAGGTATTTTCAGGGTGAAGCCCTGATTGAAGACTCGGAAATTTCGATCACAATGCCGACATGGCTATATAGCAGATCTCCGAAATCCCATCCATTGGATAGTGTCCAAAAGTTCAGGTGAACAACTCACAAGGGGAGGCTTATGGACCATGAAAGCATCGTATGTTACCTAGTTGCTGCTCCCTTTGAACTCACCTGGGCTGAAAAAAACCCCGTGGACAACCCTTGTATCCTTATGCCTCAGTATTGGTCAGTATCGGGTTTTCCTCTGCGTCGGTTCGCAGTGTTTTGGCAGCTCTGGCTCGAAAGTCGCGACTTTTCCGTACAAGTGTAGTATGCGAAGTACCTCCCAGCTCCAGCTGGAAAGTCGCAACTTTTCAGTACAAGTGTAGTACACAAAGTACATTTTGGCAGCTCCAGCTGGAAAGTAGCAACTTTTCAGTAGTATGCGCAGTACACTTTGGCAGCTCCGGCTCGAAAGTCGCAGCTTTTCAGTGCAAGCAAGTGTAGTATGGTGTAGTATACGAAGTACATTTTGGCAGCTCCACTGCGGAAGTCGCAACTTTTCAGTACAAATGTAGTACACAAAGTACATGTTGGCAGCTCCAGAGAAGGCTGCAGGGCAGCTGGTTGGATTCGGCATGGCGGCCAATGAGTTGGGTATCGGTTGGGTATCGGTTTGGGTATCGGTTTGGGCCCTGCAAATTTATGATTCCGCAATCTTTGTTTGCGACAACAACTAGGACCTGATGTGTGTCTTCATGGCTTCTGGGGGTATCGTTTTTTTTCCTCCGTATCGGTTTACAATGGTTTTGGCCTGCGAAACAAGTTAAGGGACGGCCCCTTACATAACGAAAAGGCGCGGGGTTGTTTTTTCAGCCCACCTGACGCTTGCCAGGTTTCGTCAAAACCATCATGGATGTGGGGGGTTTTGTCGAACATATGACCGCTTGTTGGACCCGGGTGCCTCTTGTGGTGCTTTTTGAAGGGCCTACCAGAAAAGGCCCCTAATTTGGACACCCCCGCAGAATCTATCAAGAACAGCAAATTTGAGCATGGCTTGGCACAAGATCCGACTTCCCCAGTAGCGATGCAACACACAAACATACTATTGTTCTTGTTGGGTTGAGCATTTCAAGAGAACCCTTCAAAACCAAGAGCCGTGGCTCAGCCTTGAAACAATTTCCCGGTAGAAGGAATTCGATTCCGCCGGCCAAGGGAACCCTCCGGAAATTCACAATCAGGTGCTGGCAGTGGGCCAAGCTGTTCAAACACCTCTTGTTGGTTCCCCTTCATATATGCGCCCTTGTTTTCCTTCAACCACGAACCCATGAACCGCAAAACATGGGGTCAAACACAGTTTGTTGAACAAACCCACCCCAACCCTGCCAGAATCTTCACTCTCCTCGAAGCGGAAGGTGAAGGGCACGCGGCTCTTGAAGCCAGGGTTCGAGTCGAAGAAGCTGTCCATCTCGGACTCCTCAGAAAGCGTCCCTGTTGCAAGCAGCAAAAGGTTTAGACTGGCCTCCGACATCAGATGCAATTGCTTGTGTGCAAGCGATCGGAAACTGTTCTGATAGAAGCCGTTGAAGCTTCCTGAGAGGCCTTGCTAGAAGGAAGTCACCTTTTATCTTTAGTGGGGAACCGAAGAAAACAAACAAAACGGGTGTTGCTGAAGAGGGTACACCATCACACCCGAAAAGGCAACTCCGACATGTGGTGTTTCAAGCCACCAAAAGGGGATGGAAACATTGGGAACCCAGTCGGACAGAGCGAACCCACCGACAAATCGGAGGGGTGCTCGAGCTGCAGAACCCATTGACTTGGGTTCTACCAAGATGGTTGCAAAGGTTTGGAAGCCTCACTATCCTCCTTAAACCAGGGTAGCAGAACCTACACCACACATTCGCAAGCGAGAACAAAGCCCCCCGAAGAGTGACCCCGACCCCAAGTAGAACCTACTCGAATGAGAGCTCTGGTCGCTGTTCAAATGACAAGCTCGATACATGCCTCGGTGTAGGAAGGACCACTCGCTTAGTGCATTTGGGGGTCGCGCCAAAGCGAAGGCTGCGCTTCCAAACGGGACACCCCCTCAGCATCCAGGGCTTGACAAACTGTCACATCCGATTGCCTAACAGGCAGGCTCCATTGTTTTGGTTTGCCCCAATAAACTGAAACCCAGGGACGGTTCAATTCCGCAGAAGGGAAAACAAACAAGTTTATGTCTGCCTTGGGGAAAAAGAACTTGGAACCAGTGCACCATCGTTTGCTCATGGCATGATGCACTGCATTGCCCATTCCCATGTATCACACGGCTCACATGAAACCCTTGAAAGCGTCCGCTTGCTGCTCAGCAAGAAACCAAGAACTACGTTCTTGCGGGAAATGCTGACATGTGACGTGACCTGGTTATTCAGAGGCTGAATTAATGAACCTGTGTATGAGAGCTGGCATGAACTCCCATAATGGTTGTTTCACTGTTCAATATGGAAACCAAGCTGCAAAAGGGGTCCGTCAGTGGACATGTAGGCAGCCTTTCCCTGTCTGCCATGCCCCCATTTACGAGCAGGTACTAATCCTTGAACCGTCACAAATCAAAAGCAGGGAAGGCTTCGGTCGAAAGCTCGGCTTTGGACAACTGAACACAACACACACACACACACACCATTCAGCAGGAAAGCCAATAATTGGAGAAACAAAATATCTCAACGCAGGAGAATCATGAGCACTGTACAAAGACTCCACACACATCCGAATTCGCTCCTTCTAGATCCCTTCTTCTGTAACTCAGCAAAGCCAAAGCGTGATACGAGTATTAGCGTTCCAGATGTGCGCCACTGGCAAACCCAGTGCTCCCCATACCACAACTCGACTTGTGTCTAAGTCTAAGGCCTATTTGGGGGCCTCAGAATGCAGGGCCCGTAGGCCACTCGGTTCTGCTGAACAGAGAAGCCAGAGCGACCAAATGGGTGTGTGATGGTGCATTCCTTTTCGAGCGTTCCCGTTTCAGCGTGTTTTCTTCTGTTCAGGGAAGCCAACAGACAAAAGGAGCGATTCAATATGTTCCCGAAATCGACACGTCAGATCCGAATCAAGCGGCATAGCCCGCCAGGATCACGATCACGTTCTTCCGCTTGTCTTCCATCTCCTTGATGAGCGTGTCCACTGCTTCCTGCCCGAAGGCGTCCTGATGGGCGCAGTTGGGACAACAAGCGGGAGAGGTCAAAAGGGTAGTACTATTAATTACTGATGGACGAAATCCATGTCGCACCACCAAAGAAACCATGGGATGATGATTCCCTTGTAAATACCAACAAACAGTGGTTTCCCATGGTTTCAATTTGATGCAGGAGTTTGTCCATCCACGGTATTGAGAGGCCCGTGTCGCCAGAGGTGGTAATTTATATACAGTCAACCTGTCTCTGTTTTCTTTGTGAGAAAGAGCTGAACAATAGTTCTCAGGCAGGAACAGCACACGCATCGCCATCTACAAACATCGTCCCAAAGCCATTCAGCTCTATCTAGCATCCGTCAGTATCTTTTGAGCTCTTAATAGACCTTCCTGTCATGCCGTTGGAGGCAGAGGACGTGGGTTTCTGTCAGTTTTTGGGGACCGTGTAGGAGGACATCACGTACAAGGGGTGTGTGGTGCACCAACAATTTTGGCGGAGGGTTCCCTGGATGGGCGATTCCGACAATACTAGTTGATGTCCATCCGTAGTACTGCACCTATTCAAACTACCCAGTGGCTCGAATAGGGGCACGCCTCGCCTCTTGCCGATATCTACTCGGTATCATTCAGGAAGCATGCCCAAGATCTCTGGTAGTTTTCCCAGACACCCATGAACCATTGGATAGATTGTCCAAACTCACGGCCTTCGCCTCCCTCCTCTCAACCGCGCCTTGCCGTTGCGCACCAAGGCGTAGGCCTCATCGATGAAGAGCACGCCCCCCAGGGCGTTGCTGACCGCTTTCTCCACCTGCAGAGGGCCGCACTTCCGAAGGGCCGCAAAAAATCGATGATCAAAACTTGCTTGCCACAAAAAAGGGATTTGTCTAGGGGTACCTTCCCCATTCTTTCAAGGGATCCTTCTTTCTAGAAAACTTCCGGAAACCCGGTTTTTGGAAAGAACGATGGTTGAAAAGGATGGGGAATCAACCCCTAGAACTTGCCAAAGTCAGAAAGTCCGGGAGAGGTTGATCCTATGATCTTCGTTCAAGCAGCCTTATTTTGAGCTCCTTTTGAAGCAGAGCCAGACGAAGGGTACCGGCAACCAAACAGTTGGCAGAAGTCCCTACAGTTTGAGCCTTCCACAAATCCCTATCTAACCGACTCACCGCCAGAAACAAATGCAGTGGGCAGGGTGCGGAAAACACGAGACGAAAAAGAACATGCAAGCCCCGAAAGAATGCTTATAGATCGCACAAATTTTGGAGCATCATGAGAATGTTCATCACAAACAAAGTGACTCTTGGAATGCGCTGGTATACCATGTACGAGATGTTGCGAGCAGCGAAATCACCAAGAGATTTGCCCCCTCACCAAGGGTGAATTCCTTAGGGCCGCATACTTTTTAGCTTGGACAATTACAGACTCAGCCAGTCAGGTGTCTTCCTGGGTCAGATTGGTTAAACAAGGATGTTACCTTTGGTTCACCATGGCCACGTTTTCCGAAAAAATGACAGCTGCGTCCAAAGCTAATTTCTTTGGCAAAAGGACGTCCAGGGACTGCGACCCATCATTTCTTGCGGGTTTGTGTAGGATGTGCCCAAATTGTGATTTCTCTGAGGCCAAATGGTTACAGACACTGTAAAATATATGTCTCGCGACCGTGACTGAACTCCAAAGTATCCCACAACCCCAATCAAATTGAGCCATCGAAACTACTTGTTGGCCCTAGACCACATGGGACATTAAGGGTGTGTTCCCTGGGCTTTGTGAGCCATGAGCCTCCAGAAATGGTCACCGAGCCTCTATTATTTAGGCGCTTTGTGGGCGTTTCTCGAAATGGTCCCCCAAAATGGCAACGGCATCCTACCATCCACAAGAAGTCCACCATTTTGCCAAACTCACTTGGTGTCCTTTTTCGAGGGAGCCCTTTGTGCGGCGGAGTTCAAAAGCAAACCAAAGGCACACAACTATTTTTCTTTGGGGGGGAGGGGAGCACTTATAAATTCTCAGCAGACCCCTAAAGTTACCCACCACGCGGTCCAGACAGAACCCATCCCCCGCCTTAGGCGCAGTCTGACCCAGGTACTGAGCCACCAGGTCCACGCGCGCCGCCTCCCTGAAAACTAGCCTCGATCGGCTGCGGATCTGGACCCACCTGATTAAGCCCTACACCCTAAGCCCATGGTAATGTGGGCTTGGGGTATACACCTCAGTAAAAATATATATGGTTGCAACCCAAATGGTTGGTTGTACAATATGGTTGTAACCCAATATGGTTGTACCCCCAATATGGTCTAAGCCGGTAAAACCCCTCAAAGCTTCTTGCTGGTTGCAAATGCTGAACCCCCGACCACATGGGTCATAATCAAAACCGATCGGTATTAAATTCGTCGATGAAAAAGGTGGCGAAGGCAACCATTTATGGTTGGGGCTATACCTGGCTTTGATTGGGGAGCTGGCTAATGTACAAATGGTTGGGCGTACACCCCAGTGATACCCCAGTCAAGCTTATGGCTGGTTGCAAATGACTGGGCATAAAGCCAGTACACGCCAGTAAACCCTACGGATATAAATGTTTGGTAAACCCGCTAAACCCTGCGGTTGGCTGATGCTTGGTTCTACACTTGTGAAGCCAGAAGGCCAACTGAACCTGACATGCGCAGATGTCTCCAAGTGATTCTTTAAAGGGAAAGTACCAAAACCCAAAGTCTTGACCTTCCCCTCAAGTGTCCAGTTTACCAGGGATCCTTACATTATACACCTGAACATTGCCTTGTCAATGGCGGGTTCCCTTTATTCTGGTGGAAAAAGCCATATTTCAAATGGGCAAAATGTATCTTTTAAGAAGCCCTGTTTAAGGAACTAAACAACAACTGGAAGCCAACGAGCAACGCCAGAGAGATCGAGCCGTAAGCATGGCTGGGTTCACATCTGGCCATAACGAGGGCATGGGGTGTGCCAGCTTCCGGTCCCGTCAAGGCAACCAGTCAACAAAAGCAACACAGCGCCGGCCTCCATCTGCATTCTCTTTAAGAACTAAAAGGGCTACAATTTGGATTCCTCTTACACACACACAAAAAAAGAGGAATAACAAAACCACAACTTCAATCAAAATGCTTGCTTTTGAAACAAACCCTACTCAAAATGAAACATGCTCTCCAAATTTTTAACGGTACAGGCCAAACACAACATGAGCGTTTCCAAGCAAAAGGGAGCCCAAATGAGATATGGGTTTGTATCAACAAGGGAGGACCTCCAAATCGATTGCGGTGTTCCTTTTGGTTTAAATCTAAACCAACCTCTAAAAGAGTATGCATCAAACGCACACAGAAGACACAGCCACATGTGATTATGCACGCATTAACAGTATGAATCAATTTTGATCAGCCGAGGCACGGAATATCCAAGGGAGCGCCCTTGGGGCGCCCTTCCGCTTTGCTTTGGTTCCTCGCCTGAGGCTCATGACGAATTGTCTTGCAGGGCCCGTTTTCCATGTACCTCTGATTTTTAATTGGCGAACCTTTGGTGGACATGGTTTAAAAGGGAGGGTTATGCACACCAACCGTTTTGCAGGGGTCCTCGTTGCAATTGTCATTGTCAACCGACCGACTGACAGACCACCAAACACGCAAACAAACAAACAAACAAACAAACAAACAAAGAACCAACGTGCCGGCGCTATTCGGGACCCGCCCTCATTTGCGCCGCGACGGAACAAGCAATAGCCAAAAACGAATAGTTTTTGACACATCCGTCTTCACGTGATTTTACAATCCAACTCCCACTGGCACGCGGCATTCTTGAAATCGTGGCATTATTTGACTTTGCTCTGCGACCAGCCCGCTTTCGACGCCATGTCCCTGCATTTATTGAATTCCACCAAACACACAAGCCCTACAATGCACAGCATCCGCGCAGCTTGTATATATGTGCGCATCGAAGCAGCCACACGCATGGTAAGCGCTCTCTCTCTCTCTCTCTCTCTCTCGCTCTCTCTTAATCTTCTCTCTCTCTTTCTCTCCCTCCCTCGCTCTCGCTGAGCTTGCGTAGTTCGACCAGCACTTATCCTCAGGAACATCACGTTGCCGCAATGAAGCAGTCAACCCCCTTGCAGAAACTCGCTAACCCCCTTGCAGAAACTCTAGCTTTGTAGCTTGAAACTGAGCTTTAAAAAGAAAAAGCAGCCAGGCACAAGCCAGGTCCTTCAAACCAGTAGAAAAAAAACGGCGTCACAATGTGGGCACGTGCTTTTTGCCTGGGCGATGGCATCCTCGAACAAGTCAATGCGGTGACGGGAGCGCGCAACCCGTGGCACCGCAAAATGAGCAGCAAGAACTGCGAGGCAAGCAACTGCTCCATAAGCAAAACTGGACCTCCTATGCTTGCGGCCAAAAACCGCCAGCAAAGGGCGATGTTAAGGTTCACCCAGCAAGCATACAGACAATCAGACAGGCAAGCAAGCAAACCACCGAACCAACGAACGAACAAAAAGACATCAAACAAAACAAACAAACAAACAAACAAGCAACCATGCAAGCAATGCAATAGAACGATACAGCCAAGCGCAAACACTCGGCTCGGACAAACTATTTACATTACGCACAGAAAAACCAACTTGTGCTCGCCTCCTCTTCGAGCTTCTGCTGCTGCTCAGGTGGCATGGCCACCACCTGCATCTTCACCTCAGCCGGCCATCATGGGCCACCGGAATGGAGGGTTCACGACGATTCATGTATTTTTAGGCCCCTGAGGCACTCAAAGGAAAGGATGAGACCTTGTTGGGGGTTGTTCCTGCAGACCATACTGAGTCATGGCACAAGCCGACAAAATTGCCCGATGCACCGATATACCATTGGAACTCCAGATGGTGAAGCTTGCAGCCACCCCAAAAAGGGCTACCCTCAAGAAGACATGCGTTGGTCTGCGTTTGTGGCCAGTCATGGCGCTAAGGCAAATGAGCTGGAGAAAAAAAACCGTATTAAAACTCTTATCCCAGGATGTTTTCATTGCAAATCCAAGCGGCGGTCTTCATAAGAGTGAGGTCCCCAAAAAACATGCCCCTTACGTGTATGAGGTCTCAGGTGTGTACACCGCTGCAAATTGTTGCTGGCTGCTGCTGCTGGCTGCTGCTGCTGCTGCTGGCTGCTGCTGCTGCTGCTGGCTGCTGCTGCGGCTACTGCTGCTGCGGCTGCTGCTGCTGGCTGCTGCTGCCGCTGCTGCTGGCTGCTGCTGCTGCTGCTGGCTGCTGGCTGCTGCTGGCTGCTGCTGCTGCTGCTGCTGCTGCTGGCTGCTGCGGCTGCTGCTGGCTGCTGCTGCTGCGGCTGCTGCTGGCTGCTGCTGCTGCTGCTGCTGCTGCTGCTGCTGCTGGCTGCTGCTGCAACTCATTGCTGGGATCTGCAGAAACAAAGAAAATGCAAACTACAGAAATGGGCCACTCCTGATCCAAGGCATCTACGACTTGCGCGCGACTTGCGCGCGACTTGCGCGCGACTTGCGCGAAAATTTAGCAATCTTCCGGATTCTTTCGACCATGCGGATGATGATGATGATGATGATGATGATGATGATGATGATGATGATGATGATGATGATGATGATGATGATGATGATGATGAATCATCACTGCGTCACTTGCGCTTCACTTGCGCTTTACTTGCGCGGCCCCATGTTTGACTTGCGCGGCCGCTCCTGCAACACACTCCTGCCATTCAAATTACAAGCGGCGGTGCAGCTAATTTGATAGGTCCAAAAGACCTGGGATCATGCCTGACATTGACACATACAACGGGTTTTTTTCCGACTCAAATGTGCTGGGACATCTAGGTCGAACCACTCAACCGACTCCTCCAGTCGCCAAGCCGTCCATCTCGGATTCTGCGATACGGCCCTTCGAACACGACACTGCCGAGGATTCCACGAGATTTTGCGCGTCAGACTGAAAAGGCGCGCGTCGAATGGTTCAGGAAGACTCAAGTGAAAACTTTGCACTTGCAAACCCAGGTTCGGCTTTGTCACCTCCTTAGAAGAAGCCATGGCCAACATAACAATCATAACTAACTCCGAACCCGAACCCATGGTAAACATGGCAAACCCAGGCTTGCCATTCAAGGGGCAAACAATGCGGTCGTCAGGAGCGAAAGGCCCTCTTTTCTGTCGCGCTTTGAGGGCTAGGAACAAGGAAACCCCTCTCACTTCGATACTGTTGGACGAAATCCGCTTCGCGCCAGTTCTTTCAGAGGGCTTATTCGTGCATCCATCCACCGTATCCATAGAAACGGTAGACATCATGGCCCTGGGAAACTGCCACATCTTCCAAGCGACCCACCCCCCCCACCCACCCCCCACCAACCCCCCAACCCCCCCCCCCCGCCCTCGTCAGTTCCCTTTCCAGGTCAAGCTGCCATCATCTCTCCCACGATGCGTGCGACCACAGTCTTGCCAGTGCCCGGGTTGCCCAGGAAACCTCGATGGAAAACCATCAGAGACATCCTACTTAAGGTGCTCAGCTGCTTCGAGCTTTTGGGGCTCTGCAAACAGTTCTGACAAGGGGCTGCTCATGTCTCTCAACAGGAAAACACGAGCCCGATCCGGATTTGCCCTTTGTTTTGCCTGTCTGGCTTGCGATGAGCCATGCTGCATCAGCTGTAGCCGAGCGCGTGGTTGAGGTCTCATTGACCTTTCCTACTTCCAAGCTCATTGCTCCTGAAACCTAGTGGGTGGCCGGAAGCCTTTCTCACCATGCGGATGGAGTTCGGCAAGTCAGTCCCGATGCAACCCTTGGGGGTCACTATGGCACCTGTTGAGGTGAAAACACCGGCAGGAATCGGAGGACGTTTGATCCAACCAAACAAACAAAGACACAACCAAACAGCCTCACAAGGCGCACGGGCACGTATACAAACATATACACACACACACACACACCACACCACACCACACCACACCACACCACACACACGCACGCACGCACGCACGCACGCACGCACGCACGCACGCACGCACGCACGCACGCACGCACGCACGCACGCACGCACGCACGCACGCACACGCACACACACACACACACACACACACACACACACACACACACACACACACACACACACACACACACACACACACACACACACACACACACACACACACACACACACACACACACACACACACACACACACACACCACACACACACACACACACACACACACACACACACGACTTACACCGTCTTGCGCAAGCACAGCAGAAGCATCAACAGCGATAAACCCCTCTTACGAGAAAACAAATTGTCATTACCAAAACAGGGTGGTCAAATAATGTAAGGGAAAAACATGTCTCACACTCTTCTACTACAATCATGACTTAATTTGCGAAGTCATTAGCCCACAACCCCAATGAACATATTTAGACCCATATGTCTGTGATATAGTATGGTGTGGCGTGGCATGTGTGTGTGTGTGTGATCCCAGAATAAGGGACCCCAAATTTGTTCCCTTGGGTGTTATTTCAAACAGCCCCAAAAGGGACTGAGCAACTCAACACAAAGAAACACCCAGAACGGTACCGAACTGTGGCTTGCCAAGGGGCCCCTTCAAGTACCGGTAAGCCATTGTGAGAAACCCTCAAAAGGGTTGTCAAAATTGAGGACCAATGGGCGGTTTCCCGTTTCCTTCCCGTCCCCAAAAAGGGACGCCAACTCCAAAAAAAACCGCACCCGTACTTATGGGCCATCTTTTTTTGGTGGACCCTCAAATGGTGGTGTTGCTTCTGTCTTTGCTCTTCGAAAGGCCCAAGAAAACAAAGCGGCCTCAAAACAAATGCCAGGCCCACCAGCTAGCCTTTAGGCGCCTTCCCAACTTTTGTCAGCTTCGGGGATAGAACGAACCGTTCGCTCGCCAGGGGCGAGCGGGGGTCCGGAACCGAGCGGCGCATGTGGAAGGACTGGCCCCCCAGAGAGGCCATGCCGAGGAGATCCCGCCAGTTGCTGAGCTTCACCAAGCCGAAGAGCTGACCCATGGCCTACCAGCGAGAGAAAGACCAGCGAGCTGGTCGCGGAATGTGGGGAACATGGCCGCTTGTTTCTTCTTCTTTTTTCTTTGGTTTTTTCTTTTTGTTTTCTCCGGATTTTGGAGGCCTGTGGCAACTGGTCAACTTGGGGGGTGGTTTCGGGGATTTGGTGGCTTGAAGGAGCCAAGTTTGGCTTGGTACCATCGTGCATCACTTTCTCAGATTGAATGGGAATCCAAAAGGAGCTCGTTTAAAAACAAAGTGTTGAACATGTTAAAACAAGTGGTTGGCCCAATTTTGCTGTCGAGTCTCAAGTCCAGTCCTGTTCAGTGGGCTTCAGCCCACTAAAGGACCCTTTGTGTTCAAAAAATGAAAGGGTACAAACAAGACTTCAGTTGGGTCTCTCGAGTTCAGTCTGTGGGCTGCAACCACTTCCCTCTAGTGACTAATTGAGTCACAATCAAAACCTGATACTAAAATGTTCCATCCACATCCATCTAAGGAAATTAACAGGCGGCGGCGCCTATGTCTGGCTCAGACTGCCCCTTACTAACCTTCATCTACCCAGGTTTTGATTGCTGCAAGACTAGCTCCGAAACCCTCATCTTCGACGTGCGACCTTGTGGCTACAACTTTGGAGGCTTTGGCATTGACAAATCAAGATCCATCTACTAAGCTCACAATACTTCCACCCTTCTAGCATGAACCCTGGTGTATATAATGTCAACCCTGGATCAATACGCCCGTCCGTCCTAGGGAGTGAGTGTTCCCTGCAAAAGTGAGCTGAACCCCCATGGGGGACACCCCCAAACAAAATCAACCAGGAGTTTGTGGTTCCCCTCCGGAATCTACGACAAGGGAAACACTACAGAACCCTCTGGGTATGTGAACATAGCCCCCCCAAAACAAAGGAAAAGAACAGAGAGCGGTGCACCATGGGGCCTGTGTTTGCGCAAATTACGACTGTCAGTGTTTGTTGCAAAGGTGTGAGCAGATGCGCATGCTGTGTTGCAATCTCTGCAGGTGATTGCACTCTTGAGCAAGTTTCTCACATGCTTTGCTGATGAGTGCTTGCAGTTCTGCTCTATATTGGTTTACAAAGTTTAATGTGCAAGGCTTTAATTTTACAATTAACTTGTTATAATTGTTATTAGGCTTGAAATTATTGCTTGATTTTGGAGTAGAGTCTAAAGAGGAATTGTTTACCAAGTAGGATTTAGCTAAGATAAAATCATAATACAAATGGAATCTACCAAGGAAAGGCAAGCTGGCTATTTCTTCTAATTTGTTTGCCCACTAAACAGAGCAAAACACACAATAGAAACCCAAGGAAAACACATTGCAAGGATTTGAGTAATTGTGACTTAATAAGAATTGTATATTTTAAATGAGATTTCAAATTGGAACTGCTTGCCCGGTAGTATTCTTGCTAGAATTAGGATTCATATTGTGAATTAGACTTTGAATATGAGTTCCTTTCCACCATGACTTTAATTAGAGTTAGCCGGAACATCGAACCCGACAAACGGAAGGCCCTGCCCGGCCATGTCTCCCCACTGACTTGCTGCTTTTCATTAGCCGCACCTCCAGGCCCCTGGCATAAGGCTCGATGTGTTCAACTCCGAGCCAATGATTCCAAGAAACATGGCCATGGGCTATCCAAGAGCCCAATTTCGGGTAGCCCCCAGTGAACCTCCGATTCAACCCAAGCACGAAAATTTGGGTAACCTAAAAATGGTGGTGAGTTCACCTGCCAACCAAAAATAGGACCCCAGATCGGCTTTGACCACCGCCAAGTCGAGTGCCAGGCCTCCTTTACGGACTGCAGGCCCACCAACTTCCTCAGCTTCGCCAGCAAGGGCCGCAGCTCATCCGAGTCCTCCATGAGGGGCAGGTTGTCCTGGGCGCATTGGTTTCAGCGCCCGAGTGCTTCGCTGCTGCGGGTTGGAAGAAACAAAAACACAGAACTCGACCGAGGGAGCAAAAGAAAAAAAACTGTTCCATCCCGCAACGGCTAGAAGATGGTGAGTTTGATTATTTTGGGGGGCCGTTGGACGGCTTTTGGGGGGCCATTTGGCTCAGGAGAACAGATGTAATTTCTATGGCTTTGACAGGGGCCCTTGGCAACCATCTTAGGGCGAGGACCTTTCCACACATCCCAGGATAAGCCCATCAGGTCTTCAGGGTCCCTTCTGTGAGGCCGGGGTAGCTTCCGTTCCACACAACTCCAGGCCCAGAACGCGGCTTCCCGCTGGCGGCTTGATCTGCACTTCTGACCGATGGACCCAAAACTAGCCGGCTTGGAAGCCCTTTGGAAGGCGGATCAAGATGAAACCGGGGCAAGCCCGAAGTGGAAGCCTCTGGAATAGAAGGCTTGAAACCAATGCAAAGGAGCTGGGCGCTTGCTGTTGAGAAGGCCTGTACGTTTCCCCCTTAAACATCGTCCCACGAAGAGAAAGCTCACCTGGGTCCGCCTGAGTGTGATTTTGGCTTCAAAGCTAAGCGCAGAAATAGATGGCAAAGCTGATTTTAGAATCAAACTATAACCAGGCCATTTAACATGCGGCTGTTTCTCTTCTTTTAGGGCACCCTTTCTTGGTGGTTTCAAAGGAAACCAAAAAGGAAAGCCACCAAGTTGGGGTCCCCTAACAAAGACCAGCCCATGTATTTTCCAGACTTGCCTGCGGACACCTGCTGGACATCTTTCGACGGCAAGATGGAAATCCAAGGCGCGTAGACAGGTGCAGGAGGCCGCTCTGGAATGGATTCCAGCGTCTGGGCACGCGGATCACTATTGCAGCACGTTGAAGCTTTCGTGGATGTTCAACCTACTTGCTCCCCGATAAACAAAAAAAAAAAAGAATTTGGAAAAATGACTCCTCTATACATGGTGCGTTTTTTGGGTTCATGTTGGGTGGTAGGTTGTAGTCTCCCGGCCAATACATGAAAGCTTCTAGCACTTTGGGGAAGTTCTTCGCTAAAGAGCACCTGGTGGCTTCCCCTATGCTAAGGCAGAATAACCATGGATGTTCGAGCTATGCAAACCACGCCCCATCTTCCCACTCATGGTTCTCACCTCCAAATATGCTGAACATCCACTCAGGATGGTCCATTAAAGACTGCCATAGGATTCCTCTTGGAGGTGTATGCGAATCTGTCCCAAAAAAGGGTGGCAACAGGGCAAGCCTGGTGAATGTGGGCGAACTACAAACCTGACAAAAGGAAACTCCGAAGAACCTGCATCATGGTGAACTTGAAATTAGTCTATCCCTTTGTGACGCCGCTTAATTTGCCCAGATTGAATGCTTCGCAGTCTAAATACCGAACTTCAATACCGTGCAAATGCTGTCGCCTTGCTTGCACATCCTTCCAGTAACTGTCTACTTGCTGAAAGTATTCACACGTAGTTTCTCAGACATCATGCTAAAAGTTTATCTTTTAGTGGTTTAATGGAAGACCCATTAGTTGGCAGAAAGTTGAAGCCCTAACATTCCTTGGCAAAATGCACCAAAGCTAAAATGGCAACGGTGCCCCTTAATACCAGCCGAAAGAGACTCTGAGAAACCCTGACTTTGCACCTCTGCGGCAGAGGCGCTGTGAAGGTGTCCGCGCATTGGCCGTAATTGACTTGGTCCACCAATTCGTCCCACGTCCTGAGGCGACAAAAAGGAGTTCCCGAAAAGGCCTGACAAATGGTTACTTCATTTGCAACCGTACAAAGATTGACACCTATCTTCGACAATCTGAATGCCCAGAATAGAGACTTCCAAAAACAAGAGCCCCTGCGCGCAACGGCGGCACACACATGGCCCCTGCCACCATCCTTTGAGGTGTTGGGGGGCCGCAGAGTAAGATGCGAATCAGGCCGTTCTAGCACAAGGACATGCATACATTGGCCATGTATCCATGCTGACGCTTCCCTTGGCCCGACTCGTGTCCAACCTACGCCCTCGGGGCTTCGGAGGTTGGCTTGCACTTGGAACCCAGCCAAGAGGAATCTCCAGGGACCACTTCCACAGACAGCCCTTAACTCGGTTGCGAAATCTGATCCCCTGCTAAAAGCTTAGCTTTTAAGTGGTTTAATGGAAAACCCATTCGTTGGCTCAAAGTTAAAGTCCTAACATCCCTTGGCAAAATGCACCAAAGTTAAGAGATGCCAGCACGAGGCATCCGGGTCTTGGCACCCCCACTCCGCGGAGATCACCTGCTGGCGCTTTCGCTCAACAAATCGAACGGCGTCATTCTGCCAGGTGTTCAAAATGCCCAGCTGGTGTCTGAGTCAGGAAGGGGGTCACAGCTCAGCTTTTGAGATATTCTTTTGGCATCATCAAATGTCATAAAGGTCAATAGGTCTTAGGACCTATGTTTTTGCCAAGGACCCATTCGCTTTCAGAAGGACGATTCCAAGATACTTTAGGAAAACGGAACAAGCGTGGGCAAACGCGGACTCTGCTGGTCTGCCTGCGACTGAGGCTCATCTGTCCCTACAACACGTGCAAGTTTACAGAATATATAATATTAACGTACACAACAAGTATTCGTGTTAACCCCCAGCAACCGTGCCCCCCCCCCCCCGGCAGCGATGCTCCAAAGCGCAGTTTGTGTGCTTCAACCTTCAATCCAGGAATACTTAAAGCCACTTCAATGCATTGTATCTTCAGCATCTGGATTGAAGATTCATAAAGCCGTCCTGCGAAGCTTCAAGTCGAAAAAAAGGTAACACGACAGGTTTAAAGCATTTCGTTCACATGCGTGGACGGTTTACCCCGAATTCAACAAGCCTCAGAAAAGGCCACCAAAAGAATGAACCTTTAAGAATGATTCACCGCCCGCCACAAAATCTCTGCTGCGTCCTAAGAGGTTGGGCGCTGGTACCATGTCTTGAGACCCTAAAGCATTCGACATGCGCCAATGGCAGGCCAGTTGGTCAGTTGGGATTCCGTTTTGGACTTGTTTGGACGATCTAAAAACGAGAAACACGTGAACCGTTGAGCTCTGCCTGGGCATTTCAGAGTGGCGCTGGCCAGGCTCTGATATCAAGCTGCCCATGTCGGCATCGGTTCCTCGTCTGACATGCTGTGCTTCAAGCATCTCAGGTCTCCGACGAAGGGGTTGCACAACTGTCTGCTGGTGCCGGCAGCGCTTCTCCAGCTGTGTGTGAATTGGAGTTTGCGCGGGGTTGTTTAAGTCTTTTCCCTTAAAGATTCCCTCGGATTGGGGCAATAACGAGCCGGCATGTGAGGCAAAATCCCGGATCCTGAATGAAGGCACCAGGCACCAAACAAATCTCTGCGAACCCAGGACCCCCCAATGGCTGGCAAACGGTCTGTGGAATGACCTCCCAATGGCTTTCCAGGCGGCCACGGACTTAGAGCACGAACTCCAACCCACCCAAACCTGACAGAACTCACGCGCCTGCAGCCCTGACTCTGCCAGATCCTCCAGCGCTTTGAGGTCCTCCGACAGGTCTTTCGGAAACCCCACAGGAAATATGGCTGTGGGTCAACACCAATGGTACCATTTTGGGGTAGGTGCAATACCCATTTTACTCTATTTTAGTGGGGATTGGGATGTTCACTGGGGGTACAGGGTTTTGACCCATGGCCATATTTTCTAGGGGTACCTTCCCCCTTCTTTCCAGGGATCCTTCTTTCCAGAAAACCTCTGGAAACCCAGAGAAAACGGCGGGTTTTTGAAAGGAACGATGACTGAAAAGAATGGGAATCAACCCCTGGAATAATGGACATTTGCCCCAAAACCCGGAAGGCTTGGGGCAAGCAAGTCATGTGACATTGGCCCCAGCTCTGTAAATTCGTGAGAAGCGTGTGGGGAAATTGATCCACACTTGTTTTTGTTCCTCGAACCTATGCAGCTTTCGCCCAACGGAAAATTACATGTTTAGAGTCTGGTCAATTCTTGGTTACCCTGAACCACTCAAAACGCGGACAAAACAGGCCCAATCAGCCCAGGCATTGTTCCAACGTCGCCATGGGCTCCTGGGAGGGGCCGAAGTTTTTTTGAGACGACCTGAAATGGGTTATGTCCTAGCAAAACGGGGGGCCCACTGTACACTGGCACCACTGGTATCAAGTCATCAAGTAATCCGCATTGCGAAAGATGTGGGTTCCTAGCCCGTATGTCTTTCTATTCTTCCAACACTGCAGAAGCTGGCTTTCCTTGTTTTCCTTTAACACCAGCCAAAAGTTTGAGGTCCAAGTTGGGAATGCTTCCCCCCGCGCCCCGCCCGCCCCTCCCCCTTCGTAGAAGGTAAATGGCGAACCTCCAAACCATCCAAACCTTCGACCCTTAAACACTTGCTGGGTACCTTCCATGCAAGACATCGGCCAGAACCGGGCCCAAAGAAGCCCAAGCCGGAGGGAAACTCGCGCGTGAGAAAAGAGAGCGAACCACCGAGTCCTTCTTCGCCTCTCGGCACGCGCCCAGCAGCGCGTCGGAGATCCTGCTAGCTGCCACCCGCTGGTTGTCCGTGCCTGCTGTTTTGGGGGGGGGGGGGGAACATGGCTCGCCTTTGGTGCAAAAGGCGGCACTGTGGCGGAAAATGGACCATTTTTTAAAGGCCCTCCACATCTGGTAGATAGACTTATGTAAGCCATGTCTTATGAAATACACCCTTTTTTAGGCCCGTTGTGGTAAACATATTCCTGGGAAGCTACTAACATTTGCCAAATCGGAAGTAAGTCATCATGGATGCGCTCCGTTCACCTTCAGTTCGATCTATACCCAAGCCACAAAATATATGAGTGGGCCCATTCATCAGGGTTCAAACCTTTCGATCGTTTACGGTTCCTCCAATGGGCATTCGCAAACCCGAACATGCGGCCCAGGTTTCCGTTGATGTTCCTTCAAACCAACTACCAAGGGTACCACGTTCACGTTCGCTGGTTTCTTTCCTGAGCACGGTTGGGCCCCGAAAAGGAAACGGACAAGGGCTCGACGGGTGGGTCATGCTCTTCTAGCGAAAAGCCCTCTCATCCAACTCAACGGAACATCAAAAGGTCAACTCAACAACCAGAAAGGAGTCTGGCCCACAAAAGTCACACAAGAGCAGAATCCATACACGAGTGATGTGTGCATTCTCGGGGATTTGTGAATACCGTTCTGAAAATTAAAAGATGAACTCCAAAGTTTCTGTGTACTGCACACTTCGTGAACTTGTAGCTTGCATAGCTGATGTGGAGCGTGCTCTACTGGCTTTGTCTTGGCTCAGTGTTGTTTGTGCCGTTGCAGGGCGGCTGCAAAGGAGAACCCAATACTGACAAATACAAGCCAGCTGCAGGAAACTGTATACAGGACATTCACCAATCGCAGACCAAAACCCGACTTCCTGTAGCAGCTTTCTTCGAAACAAGCGCATGTAGGATCTGCCATGGATAGCCACATACCCACATACTCCAAAATGGCCGAAAAAAACCATCGATTCTCGACTGAAGAAGTGGGCAATCATCACCACTGACCACCGACCTGGGATCTTACACCCCGATCCGTGGTGAATCCGCTGGGACCCCATTAAAGGGAGGGGAATCTGTCCGTTCCCGCTCAAAGTGACTAACGTTTAGTGGGTGACATGGAAATCCAACCACTCAACACTAAAAGGCGAAAAAGCTAAGGAACCTGATGGCTGGGAACCACCAAGTCATGGTGTCCCTTGCTTTCCCTTCAATACCGTAAACCGTTGCGACAAGAGTGGAAATCATATCAGCCCAATCTGTTGAGACACTTTCTCAGGGTTGGCTTCCTACAACCCCCGCCAAACATGGAAGTGCAGGCTTCACCTCTCGGGGGCGTGAGAGGTTCGAGGGCACGAGAGGTGCGCTTCGCGAAAATGGTTTGGTGGTGTGTCTCAACAAACATCAACAAACCTACTAGGTCCTCCAGTAGAGGGGTTAGAATAGGGGTACCCGACTTTTTCCCCCACCCCCCCCCCCCCCCCGTTTTTTTTGTTTCTTATTTTTTTTCCGGTAGTCTATTGTAGTAGGGGAACCCTCCAACCAAAAAAAGAAACGGTCAAAGGGCACTACCGGGGACCAACAAACCAACTTCCTGGCCTTCCAGCACTTCCAACCTGGCCTTGGTCTTGTCACCTCGGCACAGCTCAAAAAGCTCACAGCTCAGGGCCATTTCTGGTCGCGGGGCGCAGAAGGACTGCGGATCCCTTGCTGAAGGCTAAACTTTGAGTGGGACCCTGGGATATGTGATAAATCATACATCCCTCCAAAGTGGCGTGGCTCATCCTTCATTCTTTGCAGTTGGCACCCCTTGTTTGTGGATTTCAGGGGAAACCAAAAGGACAACCACTTTGTTTTTGCAGGGGGGGGGGCCTGAAAAAGACACACCCACATGATGTGCAGAGTTCCATTTGAGACACGGCGGGGTCCCACTGACAACCGGTTTGCAACACAGCGAGAAATGGAGAGATCTCGCGCCAAAAACGCGCTTATCCGCCAATGGCGCAGGGAAAAAGTCGTCAGGAAAAGTGCAGAAACAGATCACGGGTCTTCAGTGAAATAACGGGATTTGGCCAACCCACCGGTTCCAACATGCTTGCACTGCCGCACTGCTGTATTTGTTCAGCCTCGAGTTGATTCCATTGAGCATGTTTCAACCTCTGCTTCACAAGCAACCTCTTGCGGGATATCGTCTGAAGGACATTCAACATGTCCTCTCAGCACTTCACGCTCGCCCGCTCTGTTCGACAGGCTTAAGGTTTCAGTCACTTTCAAGACTTCACGCACATACTTGCTAGTCTCGTGTTAGCAAGGGGTTGGGGGCTTTGGACAATTGGAGCGGTATCAGCAACAATGCCAATGTAGGGTTGGGGGGGGGTCCAGTTTGGTTAAAATGCAGTTGAGGGTTCGGAGTTCGGTTTTAGGATGAAGACATCGCAATAAATACAGTCCGCACAAACAGTTTAGATCAGTTTCTCATTGGGGGTTCGGGTTGAGGGGTACCACCAACTCTCCGGGTGGGTGAATGGTCTGGCAATTCAGGATGCGGTCATCATTGACTACGCTTGTCTACAAGTTAGCGTTGCGGAGGATCTTCAAGACAAACGATCTGGATGCTTCTTCTTAGGATGGTTTTCCTGTTAGCTTCCCTTTAAAACCAACCAAAACGGGGTAACCTAAAGAAAAAAACACACCCATGTCAAAACCTCGTGACGGTTTCCCGATGTCCAATGTTCAAATCACGGCTTGTTCCTCCGGTTGGTTTCCCTGACGGAACTCGAGCCAGTTTCAGCCACCCTTGATCAACGACCTGTTGGCTTCCCTCTGAAGGGGACGTGCGGGCACGGTCGTTTTTTGAGGGTACAGTAATTACCATGTTCAGTTCTAAAGGCAAACCACAACCACCACGATGGTCTACGATTCTGTGCGGTTTGGGGTTCCGGGGGATAGGAATGAGGCCTTGAGATACGTTGACGCGGAAGGCGCCGTGGGCCCGAAGCGACAATGACCGTTGACGCATGGGCCGCGGGCCCGAAGCGAACGATTCAACAACCTGACGGCTTCCCGATTAAACCAGTCCGAACGTCCAGTATGGAAGTGGGGTCGCCTTTGAAGGGGATCCAAACATGTGGGTGTGTGGTTGCTCAACCGTGCACTGTTCAGGTCAGTTTTAAGGGGAGCCCAAGAAAACAACCACAATTCTTGGAGAGAACTATAATATACCCCTTTTGGAGTGGCGTTAAAGGAAAGCTAAAAAAAATCGTTGCCATTTCAGGGTTCAACCATAGGGGATCCTTTGGAAAACAATAGATGGGTTTCCCTGGTAGCTGGGGCATAAAACCCATCAAAACCAGTTGAATGAACCCATCTATTTCTAACCAAACCAACCGATCAAAAGGACACCGTGGATGGACGAAACCCATTTTGCACCACCTTCCGAACGCCCCTGGAATCATTTGGTTCCCAAACGGAAATATAAACAAGCAATAGGTGTGAACCATGGAAGGGATTTTGCAACCATCCACGGCTATGGCATCAACTCCTTCGAGACCGCATATCAAGAAGCAAGGTTCTTCTACTCATCCATTTCTAACCAAACCAACCGATCAAAAGGACACATTTGATGATGATTCCCCTGTGAATACCAGCCAAGTGCTTTAAAAATGGCTTCGCCTGTTGGTTGGCACTGCACCAAATTAAAACCATGGGAAACCAGTGTTTGTTGGTATTTACAGGCCAATCATCATTCGAGGGTTTCTTAGGTGGTGCGAAATGGATTTCGCAACCATCCACAGTATGATGACGTTTCTTAGGTGGTGCTAGACCGGATTTTCGCAATCCACAGACCGCACTGCCTAAGGCCCTGGCAGAGCCCAGTCCAGGTGGACCCGCTGGGGCTGGCGTCTTTGGAGCAGGCGGCTGCCTGAAACTCGAAACAGGTGGGCCTTGAGGGGTGGGCTGGTCCGAAAAAACTTCTGCCCACCAAAATGGGTGGTTAGAGTTGGTACTCCCTTTTTTTGGCTTGAAAGGGAAAGCAAAAGGAAAACCCGCCCATTTATGTGGGGGGTCCCTTAAAAAGACACATCCACACAAGGATTTCTGGCCTCTTCAAAAGAGATCTCAGTAAGGAAAACACAATGCCCGCCAGGAAACCCAGGTGTCCTGGGAAAAACCGCCGGCGAGCACCAAAAGCTATGGTGCAAATCAATTCCCTGATCTCAGAAGAGCATGAATCGGAGAAAAAAGCAAAGAAGGCCACGCCGCCCCCCGTCAAAACCACGAAAGGCTCGGCAGTTGCTGGAGTTCTGAACACCTGTCTGGAGGCCAGGTAGATGGGAGGCGACATCTTCAAATAGATGGGCTTCCCGGCATAAAACCCGCCAAAACCCGTGGAACGCATCTATCTAATCAACCTATCCGATCATATCCGATCAAAATGAGACCTATGGATGTGGGTCTCGGGGGGACCATGGCATAGTTTTCAACTTGTTTGGGCCCAAGGTGAAAATATCCTTCTGGGGTGTTGCTTCGGGAGAAATGTAGGGAACCCATGTCTTGGGCACTCTTTGGTGGTTCAGTTCCCACCCCTTTGGGGCCATGACTAAACATGGACGAAAAAGGCGCGCACACTCACACACATTGTTGTTCACCTCATTTTAGCCAGGAAGGTGATCTTACAGTTTAGGAATCGACCATCGCATTGCTTCTGAACGCATGGCTGGTTTCTCAAAGCCGGGGAAATCCAAAGGTCAGTTCGGGTCAATTCGATTTGACTGATCATTCGAGTAGCAGAAAAATGGGCACCACTGGGCAACCGGTAGATTCTCTCGTCAAACCAAACACAAGGAAAAACGTGTGTCGAAACTTGCTTGCAAGTCAGCTCTTCGTGATGGCGGCTGCTTCACATGCTATAATAGGAGTTGCAATCCAAGAAGCCAGCTAGGACAGCAAGCTCCTACCCTCTACTCCACGAACCTGTTACTTCATGTTCTGAAAAATAAGCAGTCTTTTTACGGGATATCCGGTTTCGCAAAGCATACACAACTTACCCTCCTTGTACTGTTTTTTTTTGTTCTTTTTCTTTTTCTTTTTTTCTCGGGGTTGTGTCAAAAGTACAAACCATTTGGAAAACCCCATGTTCTTGGTAAGAAACAGGTTCAACACACCAGGTTTGTCGTTTGATTTGTGCAAAGGCATTGCTGCAGTACCCTTTTCAGTTTGGCTGAAAGGGAAACCAAAAGACAACCCGCTGATTTTGACACATACCCACTGCCGGGTATTTGGCTACATCTCTGTCGACTTTTCTTCTGGTTCCCATGAAATCATAAGGAAGCAGGCGTTCACAAAACTGGCGGCGACCAGACTTGTGGGGCCTGGGCTCCCCATGGAAAGAAGCGCGACCTTTTACTTTGCCCAGCCTCCAAAAGTGATGATTCACCACTAAACCCAGGACACCTATTCATAAACTGCACTGGAGGCTTTTGGAAAAGAAATGAAAAGAATCATATTGAACATGGCCTCCTGACTTCCAAGATCATTGGTTCAGAATGGCTTCCGAGGTTTATCTGACACGGAATCAGTCAAGGGCATCTTCTCACTTCCTGAGTAGATTGGCCAAAAAATGTTTCCACTTGTTGTTTGCTACCAAAAATGGTCTTCCGAAACTAGGACTAAAACCTGCGGTGCCCTGGCTTCACTTTGACCCATACCATCCCCCCCTACAATAAGGTGCCCAATCCATTTGTCCAGTCTGCCCCATGATGGCAACCATAAATGGAATTCCAGGGGGGATCCCAAACCCAAAAGAAAAGGGTTGTCGCATTTGTCGGGGGCAGGGGTGCCTTCTGGTTCATTTCAGACATAGAAGGGGGTTCCACCAAGACGCCCCATCTGACCTTCTGAGTTTGGTTTCCTGTCTTGCCCCAGGTGCAACCAATATTCAGCTTACCTCAGCTTGTGCCCTGCAACAAACCATACCACGTTTAGGTTCTGATGTACATTTATCGAACCTTGACATGCAAAGCCATACCAACGAGGTCAGTTCCGGAGTCAGTTTTGAAACGGTCTAGTTTATGTGTGTGTGTGTTTCAGTTGTTGTAGTCGCTGTTGTTGCATTTTCGCTTTGAATGCCTTCTGTGGTGCCTTTTCTGGGTGAGTCAGGTGTTACGTGCCCTTTCACGCGGCGAAACAGGATAGGTTACATCAACGAGTCCGTTGCTTTTCCTTTGACTCGTAGTATTGAAGCGACCCGGGAGTTGGGAGTTCGCCAAGCCGGGGGGGGGGGTTCTTGGAAGCTCTCCAGCTGGGTCCTCCAGTGGAGAGGTTAGAATAAGGGTACCAACCATTTTTCCTGTAGTCTATTTTAGTAGGGGAACCGAATCTCCCCCAAAAAGAAACGGTAAAAGGGTAGGATCCTGGGGGACCTAGTCAGAGTGTCCTAAAGTTCCAAGCCAGGCTGCCATGCCGAAGTCTTTCTCCAGGTGTCTGCGATACGTCCTGCCCGTGCCATACTTGAGCTGGTAGGATTTCTCCGCCTCCTTGCCGAGTTGTTTGGGCGTCAGAAATCTAGCCGCGAATCCGAGTTCCTTTGGTCCTCTGTGGAGATCTCGAGAAACACACACTGCTTTTCCCTCGAGTGGCACCTGTGTCCACCTGGTATGGGTACAATTTGTGTATTTGGGCTGTGGTTTGGACCTCAACCAACCCCTTCGTGAGCTGGGGGAAGGAAGGCTCTCTACGACTCTACGACCGGGAAATCACTATGGACCAGCCATATGGGAATGTGTCAAAGGGAACACCCCATGGTGGGCGCCCCCATATCGGCCAAGATCTCTTTGAGGACAGCTTCAACAATACGGGCTGCAGCAAGGTGTTTTTTTTCCGCATCCTCAGTGTAAGTTGTACAAGTACGCCCTGAAAAACCAGGTGGAGCTGTGCGGTTGCCGGCAGCTGCCACTTGATGCAGAGCTCAGCCGAACGAAAAGACACCTCCACAGTTTCACGTGGAGTGGTGCGTGGCACGCCATTCGCTGCTCAGAAGGACTTGTATTTCTCGATGGCAGACTTCACCTGTTCTTGTTGATCCGCCGGCACCATGCACATGCACTTCTCCGTGGTGGCGACGGGGCCGCCGCACAAGGGGAAGCAGGGCTTGATGCTCGGAGGTGCCTTCTCCGCAAGCTGATCTTCGATCTGCTTCTTCATGGCATCCGTACCTCCCACCGCGCTAGCCATCTGCATCATCTTTGCCAAAGAGCAATAGGAAACTCAAGCTCCACTCTAAGGCTGGCTGCCAAATTCCTTGAGCCAAAGTGTCAGCCAGCCTGTTTCGTGTGCCGGACTGCCCTTTAGCTCCAGACGCAGTCCGGTTCATCTTCCGATGCGGGGCTTGGCGCAAGGTGGATACCTAGGTAACAACAAGTCCAGTGAGGACTGAGACCCAAGCACTGGACTTCCAACATTTGAGGCTACTTTTTGTGGGTTGGTTATAGCGGGGAACCACATGAACACTCTTCATTTTGCGGGTGGGGGGGGGGGGGGCGTCCTGCTGCAAAGTCTGAGCAACTCCTAGGCTGAGGGGTTCTTCGGAGGAATTTCCCGACCAGCCAAACGGTAAAGCAACATAAAGCAATGTCCCTTTTCACTAACGGAACTGGGCTCATTGAAAACGGAAACTGAACATTTGCCTAAGGGGTAATGCGTGTTGTTGTTGAGCTAACACTGCCCCTACCTTCCAACACCCAGGAATGCTCTTGGCGAATGGCTTGTGATTAGAGATGTCAGGCCCAGCTGCAGCCTGACACAAATAAAATGGCATGTCTCAGTCGCTCAGATTTTTGTTCAGCGCGGCTGTGTCTTGACAAAGCGATGCACCGGCAGTGTTGTTGAGCAGGGTTCAAGCGACAACCCAGCAGGGTGTCCTGTTGTTCATAATCCCAAGGAGACAGAAACACAAGGGTTCCCACTGCCTTTTTGACGATCAACTTGGGCTTAAGTCTATCTTGCGTATCAACCAGGAACTCAGCGAGTGAGTGTCTCTGCAGCACCCCTTGGCTCAGATCACGCGGGAAGATGGTGCTCTGCCTTCTCCGGCAAACCCTCAGATTTTCGCTTCAGCTCCAGCTCCCGTTTGGAAGGCAGCCACTCGTACTTGTACCTGGCAGAATTTGCGCAACCTCCTTGTTTAAACATGCTCAAGCCTTGCACATTCCAACATGGAACCCTGAGGGTCCTGGAGGACCAGGAGGGTACTGTTCAACAAAAAAACCTCCTTGGGTTTCCTGGAAAGGGTACCAAGGATTGTTTAATTCAAACAGGTTTGGTCACTTGTCCTGCGCAAGTAAGACCAGATTCTTCTCCACCACAGACCCAGTGCTTCCAGTTCCCATTACGGTGCAACATCAGCGGAGACCAACATGGCTGCGGGTCAAAAATTGGTACCCAAAATCAAAATGAAACCCTGGTAAATGGAACCAAGGAGTAAAACCCGCGGTCCCCCGGTGGTTTGATTTTGACCCACACCCACATAGAAAATCTAGAGGTGGTGAATATTGGTATCCTTTGCAAAGGGCACAACAAAGCCGAAGTCCCGTCGGATCGGTGGGAAACGAATCTCACCTGACTCAAGCAGCACTTTCGAAATGACGTCCCAAACACCGGAGAACCTACACCATTTGCCCTGCCACGTGGCACTTGAAAAGCTCAAAGCTTTCATGAACCAAAAGTTAACAGGCTCCAAGATTTACATGTCGAAAGGTTAACAGGTTGTCGCCCGAGCAGCTGTTCGTACATCTCGTCGTCCTCTGCTATCGTCTTAGTTAGACCCCGAAGTCTTCCCAGCCTCAAACAAGGAGAGCATCAACGAGTCAATAATTAAAGCCTGGTGTTAAAACGGTCTACCCAAAACCGCTAAAGACAATTGAACGTGCGGCACCTGTTTATGTTTGAGACTATCCCCTTATTAACAAGCTTGCTATGGGGGGTGCCCAAGGATAGACGGTTGGTTTCTGCTATAGGGAAGCCAAAGGAACCATAGATATCATGTTCAAAAGCAATCACAGCAAGAAAGCAAAACGGAGATGCAGGTCGAAATGTGGCGACTGTTGAAGGGAAACGAGGAAACCAACTTGCCTTTTTAGAGGGACTTCCTTGCACTCGGTGAACCTGCTGAGAGCTGTGCAACACAGGGTTTGACAGCCTAGGCCGAATCGTTTGAGAAAGCAACCACTTTGGGAATTAGCCATTTGGTGGTACCTGAACCTTCAAACTGCCCACAAAAAAGGGAAATCACTTGGGTTGCACTCACTCACTTTTCTGGGTTGTTTGAGCTTGTTGCATCAGGAGTCTGAATTATGTCAAGTTTCCCCGGCTTAAACACGACCCCCACACTGTTTCGGTACCATGATTTATGTCAAGTTCAGACCCCAAAAAGTCCCGGTCCAAAAAATCTGAGCAAACCTCTTAGGGGTCGGCGGGTTAGGAATCCCCAGGTGAAATCTCAGCCTCTTGCTTTTAAAAGGGGCTCCAAATCTAAAAGCTTAACAAAAGACCGGGCCAAGACCTGAGCCCAAGAAATTGTGGTTTGATCCTAAACCCCAACCATCAAAATCCTGTACTTACATCCATCCAAACACACTCCCAAAACAATCCTGCAAAGCGGGTTTGCCCACAAGGGGTCCGGATCATCTTTAAGGCGCAGTGTTTGGGTACCATGTTTAATGTCCATCAAGTCTTAGGGGTGGGTGGGTTAGGAATCCCCGAATCCCCAGGTGATATCTTAGTCTCTTGCTTTTAAAAGGGTCTCCGAATCTAAAAGCTTAGCAAGGGACTAGGCCAAGACCTGAGCCCAAGAATTCGCGGTTTGATCCTAAACCCCAACCATCAAATTTCCTGGTTTGATTTCAGTAGTGGCAACAGAAAAAGGAAGTGCTAGCAATACCTTAAGCAATACCTTAAGTGCTGGCAATACTAAATTAAGTAGTGGCAATGGTAAACCAAGTAGTGGCAACCCAAAAGGAAGTGCTGGCGATACTAAACCAAGTAGTGGCAATACTAGAACAATACTTAAGTCATCCAAGCTCCCTGCCAGATCCGTATTCAGGATCCCCGAGCACTGTTTTGACCGTAGGAAGGGGGGAGGCCCACAGTAATCAAGGTCCAACAACTCCTGCTAACTGACTGCTGTCTGAAGCGCTGCGCGAAGTAGCCCACCAGCGCCAAGTGAGGGTCACAGGTCACCTTGACCTCCGGGTACTCATAGAGGCGACGCACCTTGCAGGTGCGTCGCGGCGTTTGCTTTGTTTTGTTAGGGGGGCAAGGTGTCTCCCAAAACTCGCAGGGTTCCAAAACAAAACAATCACTGACATGAAACCACAAAGACTCGTTCAACATGAAACCATAAACGATCCGGGGATGCTTAGCGCTCGCAGCTCAGGAAGCCCCTCTGGGGCAGCAAGGGCTATGCGTCGGAAACATGTTGCATGGGTCTTTGTTAAGCGGCCCCACAATCTCGATGGGGGCTCGTCACAAGGCCTATTTTCCGTTTCGGTGCCTTCTTGGGGGGGTCCCTGATTGGAGGGGCTTGGCAAAGATGGGACGAATGGCTCAACTTGCATATGCATTGATAGATTGCAAAAGGTTGAAATTGCTGAACTCATAGTTGCCTACGCCCGTGGGAAAGTTGCCGATTCCAAGGGGCATTTGGCTTTCTTGGGCTGGTCTTTGACCTGGTAAGTGGGGAAAGATAATGTTAGCATGGGATTCATGCATACTGACTACGAAGGCGCGCTTTCGGAATCCAATACTAAATCATTCCCAACTCTGACGCGGGACTCCTGACCACCCCCAATTCGTTTGGCGCGTTCGGCAGAACACCTTTCCCGCACCGAAAATAAGTTGATCTCAATTCCGGCCCAATGAAAACGTCATCTAATTTCCGGCTGCGTCCTGAATCCCGCAAAGCAGCCTCCCACGACTACCTTCGCCCGCGGAACCCATTTAATCTGAGGTTTCATCGTCCGGGGGCGGAGGGGGAGGGTTTGTTAATCCGACGTTAACTTAAGTAGTTTTGCACAACAGCCGAAAGGTCGTAGCAAAGAACATCAACTTCCATTTGCTTAAGCCCCCTGGAAACAATATGTCTAATAGTGATAGATTCCTTTTAAATCCAACAGGGAAACATATTCTGAAGCAATTGGAAGTCAAAGAACCACCAAGTTTTCTCACCAGAGGCGCGTATTCCCTCACGGCGTCAGGCAGGCTCGGGGGCGGGGGACTTGCGCGAAGCATCAGCTGCCGGTAGATGAGGTCGAAGCGGATGAGGTGCGGAAAGGCTCCTGAAATCTGAACTTCGAGGTGCGGAAATCCTTCTGATCTAAAGGGCGAACTGAGGTGTTTCCTTCGAACTTGTAGCTCCCTACGCTTTGAATGAGGAATTTTTGGATACCCGCCCCACGTCTCCTTTTCAAGGGGGGTCATTCGGTACATCCCCAGCCGTACTCAACTCGCCAAGGCTCGGACGTCGGCCAGGGTCAGCTGGTCCCCGCAGAGGAACTTCTGGCGCAGCAAGGCCTGGCTTTTGCAGCTGTCACTTTGTTCCGGAGGCTTCCACCCACCCACCCATAGCAGGCTCTTGGGAATACCTGGCCTTATTTCTGGGCACTTTGGGGTGTTAAAGGAAAACCACGTGGAAGTCACCAGTTCTTAAAGGTACCCTGGAAGCCTGATCTCTGCCGTCTTAGGGGGAGATACCAACGGGGCCTTTTTTTTGACTCCCCTGTAGACAAGCCTACCATGTCCTTCGAGAACTCCTGGTTGCCTAGGTTCCCCTCTTTTGGTGTTCCTTCGACCAGTAGTTGTTTGTTGTTTTTGTTTGGTAAAGAAGGGTATGGGCAGGAATTGGACCGCAGGTGTTCGCCCTTGTGTCCATTTGCCGGGGCAGCCCATTTTGAGGTTGCCATATGCTTGACCACCACACCGACGTGTTTTTCCCTTTCTGTTTAAACCCAGCTGCCTGGTCCATGAAGCGTAGCGCCGCCTGCAGGCCCTCAAATGCCAGAAGGTAATGCTCGTCCTCCTGGGCGAAGCCTCGCCGGGCTTCCCTTTACAACCAAAAGGGGCTCCGAAATTCATTGGAAACCCGTATGTGCTTGTCACAGAGACCCAGAGACACAAAGACACAGAGAGACGGAAACGCAGTGTTACGAAAACAAAGTGACACAGAGACACGCCGACACACAAACACAAACAAACAGACAAACAGACAGCCAGTTAGTCAGTCAGTCAGTCAGTCAGTCAGTCAGTCAAACGGACAGATAAACAGACAGACAGACAGACAGGCAGGTAGGCAGGCAGGCAGGCAGGCAGGCAGACGCAAACACACAACACACACACACAGAAACAAACACACTAACACAAAACACACAAAACCATACAACACCACATAAACACACACACACAGAGATACAAAGATGTAAACACGCACAAACACAAAACCACACAACAACACAAAACACACACACACACACACACGAACACGCCACAACACACACACACAAACACACACACACACACACAAAAAAAAAAAAGCACGCCCACACACAAAACAAAAACAAAAAACAAGACACACAAAAAACCACACAAAAACCCAATCGGACACACACACACACACACACCGACACACAAACAGTTTAGTAACCTCCACGTTAGGCGAGCGAAATGTGGCTGAAAGTCCATTTCTAGATTCTAGTTAAACCAGCCGCAATCAATTCTAGAAGTTGGCCAAACAGCCTTTGCGTTCGAAGACACTCCTTTACCTGCCTTCTGAACGTCCTTTTCCCTCCCCTGTTTTGGGATACATCGGATACCTCCCAGAAGAAAGCAGCACTTTGCCCGAGATTTGGCACGCTTGGCTCTTGAACATCCAGCAAAGCGGGTTTGCGAAAGGTGTGTGGGTTTCTACCAGGCGACCAGGCGAAACAGATTGGGCGATGGGTCTCTGGGCCAGGTTCAGCTTCCTTTCGGCGGGCTGGCTGCGTGTGCTCAAGCACTTCCAACTGAACCCAACGGCATTCCGAAACGCCAAGGAACAACCCAAGCCTTCACGGCCTGCCATTGGCCGTTTCAACCAGGATGTCTTTGGGTTTTGCTTCCACAAAAACTTAGGCAACCTGAGCCAATCCCCATTTCAGGCTGAAGCTATTGCCGAACAGGCACCGCAGCGATACACCCCATCATTCAGCCCGGGGTACAGGATAGAGTTCACCTCCTGAGTGAGGCCAAACACCGGTGTAAGCACGGCACTACATATGAGTGGCTCGTCTTTTTCTGGAGGATCAGTACCCTTTTTGCGTTGGTTTAAAGGAAAACCAACAAGCAGTCCGCTCATTTTGAAGGTCCTCCTATTTTGATACTCGAGGACATCGATACACGCGGTCACTGGCAGGCTGGGGTGACCCTAGGACACCCTTTGATTCACAAGAGATCCTGGTCAAGGGAACCAGGCTGGAAGTGTGGTTGGTACGGGAACCCGCAAGGAAGCCCCAAGTTGGGTATCCTTTTATGTTTACGCAGACGCAGGCTCCGGTGGGATAAACACTTTGCCCCGCTCCTCAATCTCTTGGCGCTTGTCCACAGGATACAAATCCAGCGAATTCCCCATGTCCCCAAAGGCTTCGTTGAGCATCAGCAGAATGTGCGCGGGATCGTTGGACACCACCTGGCGCTAGGTTCAAACATGATTTTCCAACCGATGGCGTGCGCCAAAAAACGTGTACCCAAGGGGAGACCTATCCAAGGGGCGACCTACCCAAGGGGAGTTATTCAAGGGGCGACCTTGGTTGGGCAAACTGGAACTCACCTGGCAAGGAATCTATAGGACTTCATTCCAGGTCCCACTTTTCCGCCCGCATATTTGTGCGTCTGGCATTGGACTGGGGTCAAAATGAAGGCGTGGCCAATAAATGTCCACCACCTTTGGCTTCCCTAGCCCGGGGGAAGGATATGGCACCTTTTTGGGTGTATTTCAAGGGAAACCAAAGGGAAACACACACAAACCTTAGGTGCCCTATTTCAAGACACACCTAGATAACCCACAAACCCAAAAAGGAATCTGCAACGGCGCATGATCGGTGAGCTTGCTTTTTGTCCTTTATTCTTGGTGTCACAAGGAGGATTGCGTCAGAGATCGACCCAATATGAATTTGACTCTAAAGAAGCGACCCAACCGAAAAAGTGGCTTCCTTTTGGCTTCCTTTAAAACACCCTCCACAAGGCTGCCCTGCAAAAAAAACAAACGCGCACCCACAAGATCTTGCTGTGAAATGGGAACATGTAAACACCGAACAGGCGTTTGATGGGCAAATCACGCAGTCGGCAGTCCGGCTAAGATGCGAACAAAGTGTTGGCAAACCTTTCAAGTCATCAAGCCCCCCCCCCGAACCACTAATCCTAATAAGACTGTACACACACACACACAAAACGCCTTGATGAAACTGCAAACCTTCTGATAACTACCTCCCTCAAATCAGAGGATGACCACCAATTGCCAGCGCCTTCTTGCTCTCCTTGTCGAAGAGAATCGGTACTGTCAGCTGCTTTGTCCCATAGTCCGGGTTGTTCGAGTTGTACACCTTGCACAGAACAACGCTATTGCACATTCCCGGGTTGCTCATTGACCCTTGCAAACCAATGAACATGTTGTGGGTCTCTGCAGGAATGCTCATTTTCCAAATGTTAAAAGATTGAAGGGAGAACCAATCAGCGGCCACGCGCTTGTATTCTGCCGGACCCGATAGCTTGCTGGAATACATGGCCTTGTGCAAACACATTGGTATGCAAACATCAAGATCAATTCTTGCCTTGAGAGAGAAACACACACACACACCCACAACAGGGTTACCCTCTCCCGTTTGCATGAAACCAGGGAGGCCCAAACACAATGTTGCTTTTGAAAGGCCACTCTGCAAAGCGCCGGCAGGCGTCTTGCTCCAGTTCGTCTTCTGTCCCTCCAGTGAACAGCATGACACCCTTGTTGCTGGTCAATGAGACAATGATCAATAGTCTGCCGAAAACACGAAAGCTCATAAACAATACTCCGAGGACTGGCAAAACCTCGTCTCAAGCCAACAAGATCTATAGATCAGAGTCGGGTGGGAACGAGTCCACTGCTGCCCCACACCCCAATTATGTCCCGTCACTGGACTCATGAATACCCCTTGGCAGCCCCCCTTCATGAGTGGATAATGGGACTCATGCCAGCTCCTGACAAACAAGCAAATTATGATTAGTAAGAACAGACTTGCGGCTGCGGCTGCTTTTCTGCTGCTGCTTCTGCTGCAGGTGGTGCTGCTGGTGGTGGTGCTGGTGGCAGTCGATCAACATCCGTCGCAACTCGCATCCCTCGAAGCAAACGGCCGTTTGGCTATCGCCATCCCTTGGCCTGGATCCTTCAAGCGATCAAATTTGAAAAGCCGCCTGTGCTTAAGCTAACTCCAAAAGGCTTAGGGTTCAGGATTAGGGTTCAGGGTTAGGGTTCAGGGTTTAGGGTAAGGCTTCAGGCAGGCCAACGATTTGAAGTGCAAGGAAATCCGAGAGCGCGACCATGAGTCCGCTCTGCAATGTGTCTGAACAGAGTGATAAATCTTGGACATTTGCGGGTTGACAGTTGCTGCAAGAAATCTAATCAGAAGCCAAACACATCTAGAACCAGGTTTAACACGTGCTAGCCATGTTTGTGTGAGTTGCGCTGGAAACAATCAAACTACGACAAACAAATTTAGAAATGCACTTGAAACATGCTAGACAGTATGATGGGATTTCGCAAAGCCTACACACATGGTAAGCGTGTGTGTGGGTTGCTAGACATATTATGAACTCATGCTAGACATATGTCCAAAATTACTCCACATAGTATGCAAGCTAGACATAGTATCTGTATAATATATATATATATACATTAATACAAGCTAGGCACGTGGTACACTTTGCAAAGCAACTAGACATGCCAGACACAGCCATAACAACTCGAGGATACGGAAAACACCCACACACACACACAAACACACCACCCACCTGCCGGGGGATCCCCTTTATTCCCCGTCTATATATATATATATATATATATATATATATGTATATATGTTTATATGTATTGCTCATGTGTGTGTGTGTGTGTGTGTGTGTGTGTGTGTGTGTGTGTGTGTGTGTGTGTGTGTGTGTGTGTGTGTGTGTGTGTGTGTGTGTGTGTGTGTGTGTGTGTGTGTGTGTGTGTGTGTGTGTGTGTGTGTGTGTGTGTGTGTGTGTGTGTGTGTGTGTGTGTGTGTGTGTGTGTGTGTCATGTTAGTTTATTTCCCGAGCAGAGCCCGGCCTCGCAGGCAGTGGTAAAGCCGTTGCCGGTGGGGTCCGGCTGCAAGATGGGCCAGCCATTGGGGCGCACAGGGCACTGCAGGGTGTGGGAGATGCTGACGACCTCCGTGAGACCCTTCAAGCTTCGGGCCAGTAGCGCTTGGCCCGACCAGCCACAGGAGTAGTTCAGGAACAAATGGTACCTGACAAAAGCTTGGTCTGTCCAAAGTTCGGTCCCTTCAAACAACTCCAAGGTGAGTTGAGGTGTACGAGAAAACTGGGGAACTTGATCCTTGGCGATCCTTCGCATGGGTCAAGAGCAGAACTCGGGAGGTTGGCGTGGGAACGAAATGCGTGCGTCCCATCCGAGGAAACACTCAGTGCATTGGGAAACTCATCGGGTAAAGCGGAAGCGAGCTTTGCGCAACCAACATAAATCTTTGTGCCTGGTGCTTTTGTGGAAAGATCTGCTAGAAACACAACCTGTTTCTTTAGGACGCCAGCAAGAAACCGTTCAGGAATACCCTCTTTCCAAGAGTCATGGAAGTGGAGAGGAAGGTTTCAGAAGACTAGCATCATCTAAACACTGCCCCCCCCTCCACTTCCACCAGTCAGGGAAAGAGTCCATCCGCCGGGGTAGTTCTTCCAGGTTGGCCATCCCGCCTGCCACTCGCCGGCGGATGTGGTGAGTCAGGCAGGATCCACTGCTGCATCCGGTTTTTGCCGCGGTCGAAGCCCCCGGGCATGGGGAATGCCAGCTCATCATCCGGCCGGTCCAGATATGGATAGCCCATGGCCGAATCCGATTTGTCTAGCGGTGCCCCAAACGAGAGGTCTCCCTTTGAGGTTTCGCTTTACACCGACCGCAAAAGGGTGACCGCAGGTCATGATCCGTGATTAAACATTAAGTAGTTGTGTACCTGGCTGTCATTTGGGTATGGGTAGATATCAGCGAACCCCTCCTCTTAAATTGCAGATTGCGCGTATGCTGCCGTAATGCAGCTAGAGCAGAACAACACACAAACCAATCCAACAAGCCCAGCGCATGTCTATTGCAGTTGACCGGGCTCTGTTTTAACACATACATGACGAGCCGAGACGGCTGAACTTTTGGCTTCGGAATGAGCGCAGGGCCAAGCCGCATAAAAACTGCGAAGAGTTCACAGCAGCTTGGAGATCGCCCGGGTTTCTACACCCCTTCCAGGATTGGGCAAGACACATATTAGAATGCGGTTGGCATCCCGGGCACTTATTTGGGTGCCTTTGAGAGTGGTCACGTTTCTGAAGGGTCCATTCTAAGAGCCGATATGTTTTGCGAGCAAACCAACCATCCAGAAAACAAGCATAGCGTTCATTGCGCGAACCAGTAAAATGAACAAAACATAAGCTCCTCGTCCACATCCCCGTCTCAATTCATTGCCTCTAGTATTGCCCCAGGCGTTTGAATCAGAGCATTCGAAACGTCACCCGCAAGCGATGGACACCGCATCACATTTGAGTGGAAACTCAGCCCCTGTCATACTGTTGTTTTCGTCCCCCGAAGAACCTCTGACTTCGACAGTGAACAGTCGCACCAAAACAACATACTCCCCCGAAAACACAAGAGTGGGGTGTTGCCGCAAAAGCAGCTTCCGCTTGACATGATGTCATGTTAGTCTGCCAAGTGCGTCGGCAGCCGACTGGACAACCTCCAAAAAGAAATGATCCTGCACGTTGGGATGGCCAGCCTTGGGAATAGGAAGGGAAGCGACCCCTCTGTCCATTGTCGTCTAAAGCAACGAATATTTCCCGTGTTGTTGTTTCCGGGTGTGATTCTCAGATGCCCAAAAGACCAGAATTTGAAGGTTAAACTTTTGGGAACTTGACTAAATATGGACCAAGGTTAATTAAAAGGTCAGCTTCGGGGAAGTGAGGATTCCATGTCTCAAGTTTTGAGGCGCCCCTTTGATTTGAAACCACGCTTTCTCCTATCCTTGGCTAGCGCTTCAGTTCCGAGACAGTGACCAACCCTGTCTGAGCCTCCCGATTTCAGGCACAGGGTTGGTTGGGACCCGGATGAGTCAAGGGTCCCTGGATTTCCCTTCAAAAGCTGCGATTTGCTTGTGGGGTGCAATCAAACTGCCACGTTTGAAGGTCCAAGTGAGGGAAATTTCTAGGGCTAACTTCCCCACTCTTTCCAGGGATCTTGTTTTCTAGAAAACCGCCAAAAAATGCGGGGAACAGGCGATCGGTTTTTGAGAAGAATGGACACGGAATCAACCCCTAGAAACTTGAGGGACGCCCAGACTTGGGACCCGGAGTTCGACCCAAAGGAGCGCTGTGGGAAATGCCCACTTCTGTGATACAACAAAAACGGCTTCCCAAAGACTAATCCCCCATATAAAGGGGGAGATTCCCTTGTATCACAGAAGTGGTGGGAAAAACCGAAAAAAAACCAAACCCGAGTGATCCCACAGCCCTGCAACGGAGTCCTTCTTGTTGACCGCGAACTGCTCCACCCGGTCCAGCACCGGTCGCAACTCTCGGCCTTGGCCAAGGGAAGGGCCACGCCGAAAAAACCGCCCACTCGGACGGTGCTCCAGAGTGGATTGCCCCAAATACGTTTATTTTGTTTTACATTTTTTAAAGAAAACAAAAACAGACATGAGCAACAAACTCATTGCTATATACAGTATCATCTATATATATATATATTACACGAGTATATAGACAGACCAAATAGATAGATATATTCATCTGTTGTACAGAAACAGCCAAGGGCTTCTTGTACCAGTAAGCCACACTGGTGATTTGAAGTTTGGCTGGCAAAGAATAAGTAACCAAACATTCAAAAGATCTCCACTGACATGATCTTGCTCAGGTCTCCAGCTCCCAATCCGCTAAGTGAGAAGTGCGCAGGGCTTGCTGTGAGATGTTCCAACCACATCTCTGGAGCTGCTCTTCTTGCCCTTGGGATCCACGACATGGGAAAATGCAAGGGGAAAGTCCTCACGCTTGGATGAAACCGGTGGATCTCAAACCAAAGCCCTTAAGTGAAGTCACGAACACATTTGCACAACTCCCTTGTTTAACGGGACCTGCAGCAAAAAGGAACGGGGAAGTGAATCATAGAGCACTCTCTTGACCTTTCCCCATGAAGTATTGATCGAGTGCTATCAGCTGTATGTCGGTCATTTCTGTTCCTTTGATGCACCTCTCGGGCACTGTCGAGATTGACTAATAATCTCTGCGAAATACGCTTCCTTTACGCCATCGTCGTTGGGCGGGGTCTTCGCAAACGACGCCCCGCATCCATGTTGCTCTAATATATACCATTCAACCGCATTTGCTCTAATATATATATATGTCTATATATAATTAAAATGTAGTTGTTCCAATATATATATATATATGTGTAAATATATATATATATTATACATATATACATACATATATATATATATATTATACATATATAATTAAAACGTGTTTGCTCTAATATATACATATATCATATATATATATATATATACAATTCAAACATATTCAAACCAGGGTCATGACGTCAGGTCAGAATACTCCAATCGCCTCACACGCTTGGGTTCAAGGAGATACGAGAAAGTCACCTGGGTCAAACTGAGGTTTCTTGCCACGAGGCTTCGGCCATACTGTGGATGGACAAAATCCTGCACCAATTTAAGACCATGGAACACCATTGTTTGTTGGTATTTATAAGGGATTTATCATCCCATGGTTTCTTAGGTGGTGCGAAATGGATTTCGTCGATCCACAGTATGGGCTGCAACTTTCCGGTACAAACGGCGAATCAACCTCAGGGCAGCACTTCCGGGTCCCTTTCAATGTGTCATCTTCCCGCTCTGGCAGACCATCTTTAAAGCCACCGCCCCACTGGGATTGCACCCCTGCTTCATTCGCTTCTTTCGGCTCTTTCAGAAAGAAGGTGGGAAGAGATGAACCAACTAGTCGGATGGCTTCCTTGTGGCTTTCCGCTGAAAAAAGACATCCGAAAAGGTATTTCCAGTTTTTAGACAAAGCCATTCGAGCCACAACAAAAACAGTTCTGCTTAAACGAGTCTAGCCAGAGGCTCGGAAGGAAGCGGAATGCCCTGTCCGCTGAGAATGCCGAATGAGGGAAGCCTAAAACAAAGCCCGGTTTCCTTCTGGATTCCCTTAGAATCCACCCCTAAACAGGGAACACTTTCGGCAAAAAAAGAAGGAACAAAAACACGCACGATTTTTGCCCACCCGTTTCTGCTTGGGACGCCCTACTTCATCTGCCCAGGTTTTACAGCGAGCCCGTTTGAGAGGGACTTCTCTGGGCGGCCCCGCTGTAGTAGAGGCGCGGCACAATGCGCGAGGCGAAGTTTCGGTAGGCTGCCTGCAAGAATCGGTGCCATTTAGCCCAAAGCCCCCCCTCGCGGGCTGCATAGGACCTAAGGATAGACAAATCAAAGCTGAAACCAAAGGAAACAAACCACTTTTCAGCCAGGTGTGGTCAATCTGCCGAGAGCACTGCTTTCGAAAACATGTTGCTCTCGCATTTCGCTTTTGGTCCTACCAAGGGAAAGCTGCCAAAAGGAGTGCTTTTTTTTTTGCGGCCGAATGATCGTCGGGCACCTTCCGATAGCTGCATAGCTGCATAGCTGCATAGATACCCCATATACCCCTATGGATTAAGTGCACAGTGATTGCCCGAAGCGTGTGTGTGTTATAACTGCCAGGGGGGCCCTGAGAAAGCAGGCTCGCGCAGCTTGAGATGGCGGTTTGGCTGCCCCATACCGCGCAAAGAGAGTACAGTGGATTGCCTCAATGGCAGGGGAACGAGGGACACTGGCTGTCTTTGGAAGTGGATCGCTTTCACTATAGGTGGAATCCAAGGGAACAATAAGCATGAGAGGCAGGTCTGACCAGTCTAGATCGCAAGAACAAACCAGGGTATGGATCTCCCCGAAAACGAACAACCCATTGTTGCTGGTGTCTGGGAAAACGTCTGATTCTTGCGTGACATGTTGGTGGATAGAGCCCACCATGGACGAGTCCTGGGCACTGGAAGGCAAAATCAACTTGCGACTCGGCCATGTCCCCGTGCCTGAGACAAGCAGCGATGTCGTGCCCCTATCCCTGACTTGCCCGCGGTCCATATGAATCAAACGACCGGCTTTGCGGTGGTTCTCTGTTCGACGGGGAAAAAACAAACATACGCCAGGTTCGCAAGGTCATCACTGGGCATCAGAATATAAACTACCGCTGTCTTGTCGGAGGGTTCTCACAACTGGCCTGGTCCAAATTGTTTTAACCACTCTTGGATTTGTTGGGTAGTCGGTTTGAGTGCCTCATGCTCGCCTTGCAGCCCAGTCTTTGTTGCTAGCTCGGCCCTTCCAGTGGCAAAATACGAAAATCGGGTGTTGTTCTTCTTGCAGTTGCTGAAGGTGCCATGAGAATATGGCCACAATTACCAGCCATGCCCGTTTCCCTGCAAAGCCTGCAACAACACACACAAATACCTGAAGCAACGTGGAGGCTTGAAACCAACCTAAAAGCTTGGTTGCCTTCCGGTATCGCTTCGAATCACCCGTTCAAGATCGGGGCGCCCAAGTTCTGGAGATGGCCACTTGAGGTGGCCTAGCAGCGTCGATCTGGGAGCATTGTTATATTAACCCATGCATAATATTGAACAATATACCAGCATAGCACATCATAGCACTTTGTAGACGTGTCGCAAGCCTTTGCCGATCAAGACTTTCACATACTTTCAACCATCTCCCGTGCCTCCAGGATGTTTCGCACAGTGCGGCCGTTGCCGCTGTCACGCTTCCTCAGCGCCGCAATGGCTATGCCGCTATGCTTCACATGTTCAGAAACCAGAACCTGTCTATCGGGATGCTACTCATGAGCCTGGGGCTAGAGAAGGCTTGTGAAAGGGTCCCAGTGCCTACCTTGCCCTCAACTGGGAAAGCGTGGGGTGAAGCCCCCTCCATACACTACCCTCACCACAAAGGGAACATGCATGCTTAAAAAGCTTTCTTATGCCCCTCAAATGATAGGGATATGCCTGGTCCTTCACAAAGCAGCTAGCAAACAGCGATTTGGCCGCAACAATCCCTGCCCAAGAGCTTGGACATCAAATCACGGATTGATCTCCTTGAGAGGTTGCGTGCGGCAGGAGAATCTGGAGACAACTGCAGTCTTCCCCTGGCCAAACCATGACTTACTGAACATGATCTTGTATCATCCTCTGAATCTTTCCTTCCATGGCACGAGATCAGAGCCCCCTATAGCCTTTTTGTCCTTCTCCCTATCGACAGCAACGAACTCATGATCCCCTCCATGGGCCCATGGGGTAGCTACCTCGAGCCAACTGAGTCACGCGCAAAGGGCTCAAAATGGGAGCCCGAAAAAATTACGGCGGGTCTCCTGGTGGTTTCTCTTTAGAGCCGCGCGAAGGGTACCCAGCCTCAAAAACACACACACAAACATTGTGTTGTGGTCTTCTTTTTTGGCTTTCTGTTTTTTGTTTTACAAAGAGTCAAATGCATGGTGTTGGTTTTTGAGAGAAAAAAAGAAGAAGAAGAAAAAAGAAAAAGAATAACAAACAAGCCCGGTGACCCGTTTGGTTCCTCCGCCCGCGTGGATTCGTCTGGGCCGAGTGTCGCCTGGCAGTCCCCGGTGTCGCAGCAGCCGGTGGCGAAGCGCACGGTGCGGTTCACCCAGAGCTGCGCGCCGTCGGTGGCCCTGAAGCCCTGAGGATCGCTTTGGGCTCTCGGCGGGTCTTGCGCTCAATGCGGAGGCGCAGGGAATGGGAATTGGAATGAGCCCTTTAAGCCTATAAACCATCCCTGGTGGTGTTTAGTTTCAGGGCTTATCAACCATCCCTTGTGGTTTTTGGCTTCAGGGCTTTAATGAGTTGGAATGAGCCCTACGAACCATCCCTTATGGTTTCCTTTAAGGGAATCCCTAGGTTGGCTTTGAGGGTCTTGGTGCGAGAGATGTAGGGAATGGAAAACGGAATGACCCCGATTTAGAAACCATCCAACTGTTGGTTTCCTTTCTTCGGGAATCCCAAAACGGTTCATTCCATTTCTCATTCCCGAGCACCAAGGGGTAGCCTGACTTCCATGGCAGCTCCCCCGACAGCCTGCTGGGACCGGCCAGGAGCTACCCGGACCCCTCAAACTACCCTGGAACGAGGGACCTCCCCCCATACTTTTGGGGCAATGAGCCGTCTTTTATGGGTAGTTTGAGGGTCCAGGTAGCCTTTTGGGGGATTCGTGGAAAGGGAAACCAAAAGGACAACCACCTGGAAGGGTGCTATAAACATGGCTATGGAAATTCACCCCTGTGATATCAACGTAGAGCATCCCCAGTACTGTACCACTTCAAATGGGGGTTTCCCTTGGTATCACAAACATTGGTCCCACAACCAAGTTTCCCGCAGTCTCTTGCAGAAGCCACACAACTTGTGTAAACTCCCTCGATTTCCTTTTAAACAGCACCTCCAAAGGGCAATAGGGCACCCTCAAAAAAGACACAACCAAACATTGCTAGAAGCCTTCTGCTTTTACCACTGCATCTGACCCAGGAGGCCCAAAGCGCATTTCTCAAAAGGGGGGACTTCTCCGGGTTGCTACTGGCTTCCCTTTGGTTTCCACCTACCACCCAAAAAGACACGTTCACTTTGAATGGAGTTTCATCGGTGACTGTGGTCCATGATTCTTTGAGAGGCTTAGACAGGAGGGAAGCTGGTTGGTGCAAACTCTGCGGACGTGCCGTTCGGGAGGGGCACATGTTTGGAAGGCTACGAGGCTGGGAGATGGCTGAGGTGGGTGTCCTCCAAGTTAGAGAAACTTAGGGACTCAGAGGGAAATCAAAAGCAAACCAACCATTTGTAGGGCCTCCCTAATTATTGCTTAGGCCACACCCATGCTGTGGGTCAGCTAAGGAGTTCATTTTGCAGCTTGGCATCCTGCAGGTGTCGGCGGAGGCTGGGGCGGCGTAGAAAAAAACTTGGGCAAGTCACTCGTCACTTGTGGCGGCGGCGGCTTGGACGGCGGTTTCATTCGCTTGAGACATGCAACCAGAAAGCCTCAGGACCAGTCTGCATTGTTGGACCCATGAAAAGCACCAGAAAGGGTGTACACCAAAGACGCGGCCCCTAAGGACACCAACATGAGAGTTGCGCAGTTGACAAGGAAAACAGAAGAACTATTGTCTACCTTCCATAGACTGGCCAAAGGCAAACCCCCCCCCCAAAAAAAAACTAAACTAAACTAAACAAACAAACAAACAAACAAACAAACAAACAAACAAACAAACAACAACAAGTAGGTTAAAGAAACCATATCCCCAGTTTCTGACATTGATTTACCCGGTCAACATAATGGCCCTAGATAAAACATGCAAAGCGATTCTTTCCCGAGGCTCCGCGTAGACAAGATTTGCCTAGCTTTGCCACGATCATGGAGCCAAATGTGGGTAAATATAGCACCCACATGGGTGTGTGTGTGTGTGTGTGTCAAAATCAGGGAACCCCAACAACTGGTGGTTGTCCTTTTGGTTTTCTTTTACAACCAACCATAACCAAAGGTTCCGGAGAAAAACAAAAAAACAACAAAAAACATGGCTCGACCGGGTGAGAACTGACGACGGAGCCTTGTCCTCCATGAAGATGCCAGCGATCTGGCTCAGCTCGCTGCAGGTGTAGTCGTCGAAGTAGAACTTGAAGGGCACTCGGCCTGGGAGATGGGGTTGCCCCATGGGAGCTTCCCACCTTTCATTTGCTTAAGCCCCCTGGAAAAAATACAAAAATGTCCAGTGGTCATAGATTCCCTTTAAAATCAACAGGGAACCATTTCACATATTCTTAAGCAAAGGGAAGCCACTTATGCCCTGCCCCCCCCTCCTTTTGCTTGGTATTAAAAAAGGAAAGACACAAGAACCCAACCAGTCTGGAGGACCTCTATTTTGTGAAACACCCAGAAGGCGTCTCCTTTTGTACCCTGGTGCCGCCCAAGTTGCTGCTCTTTCAAGGAGATACCAAAAGGGCCCAACCTTTTGGCAAGCCCCGGCATGTGCTAGCACTTTGCGGATAAACATGGGTTGTTCTTGTGAGGTGTCCCTTCAAAAAACCCCCTACTTAACGGGGTCCATGATTTTGAGAAACCTCCATAAGGTACATATTGGGAATGCGTCAAAGGGTTATCCCCAAAATATGCTGATTGAGACGGCCCGCAGTAGGGTCAGGGGAATGAACCGACGGGGATTCCCGAAAGGACACCAGGACGGTTCGTAAGGGTGAATCCAACTCATTCCCTGCGTCTCTCGCACCAGCTTACACCAACTCCCGAAAAACAATCTGATTCCAATTTTAAGATGTCCCTTCACCCCCCTCCGACTTGTGACACCTTCCTTCAGATTGTTCCTTTAATTTGTTTTCACCCCCAGCAAACGGGAGGAAAAACACCTGCCTCTCCATGCGCCAGGCACCCCTCCACGCACCACTTCCGCGCTTGGCCCGATTTTTAGGGACCTAAGGCGCCGACTCTTGAAGCCGGGGTTCGCCTCGAAGAAGGTCTCCATCTCCTTCTCGTAGCCTCTCTCCATCCGGAAAAAACGAGGGGTGGACGAAAAGAACGGGGGAGCCTCAGTTCCTGAGATATGGATGCCAAAAAGACCAGTTGTGTTTTTACTAGATGTGTTGCCACAGTTCCTGAGATTTGCCCAAAAAAGTCCATTTGCTTTTTAACTGAAGGTGTTGTTCTTCACCAACAAAACTAGAAGCCGGCTGCGGTTTCCTTTCTGTGCCGTTGTAATCAAACGCGAAAAGGGTACCTTCAAAAACAGGCGTGCCCAAATTTGGGAGTGCCGCGGTGATTGCATATCGAAACGCCAGTCACCTTTGCATCTTCTGTTGATTTGTGACCTGAAGTCTACACGGAATGTACAGGTCGGCAGTTCAAAGCTGCCGCTAGTTGTTGGAAAGTGGCATGTTCCAAAAGGTTGAAGGCTACAAGGTCTGGGCAAAGAAACGGACACATCGACTTCCAAGACGACCTCTATTTGCGAGTGTGTCCGGCATTTCTGCTGCCGTCTGGTCAAAACTCCCATGTGGGCCATAGACATTGTTCCCTACAAGTAGGAATCGGGCGAACTCGCAATGAAAGGATCCACAAGCCCCGAACTAATTCAATTCACTTCCTGAATTTATGGGTCAAAACTACTCAACATGTGCTGCTTGCTAGCTACTGATCGTTTCAAAAAGCTTCTCCAGAAAAGGTAACCCTGGCCAGCGCATCCTAATTGCCCTAGTAGGTCACCATTGTCCTTTTGGTGTGCAAAGGGTTCCCTTGGCTAGCTACCATAGAGGTAAATACAACCCCTGGGGTTCTGGGCTGGTCTAAGCCAGCCCTGTGCCGATTGGATCCCTACCAGTTGGAAGCCGAGGCTTCATCTGTGCATCCCTTCGCTTGGCCTCCCAGGATTCAGTGGTGCCGACTAGCTGGAAACGTGGAAGTCTGTCGGAAGTTGCAGTGGGGTTGTGGTTCGGACGTTGGCCCTAGGCCGATGGCTCCATATGTCTTGGTGGAATCAACACTTAAGATTCCCAACTTGATGGCAGTCTCACGAGTGCAACCTCCAAATGGGCAGCTGAAATGTGGCTCATGCCCAAGATTCCGGGGCTGATGAAAAAGGCAGCCACACCCCCAAAACAAAAAAACGGTTCGGTTTCCTGCGGGGTCCTAACACCAAATGCCCGTTGGTCCACCCCGCCACGTGGGCGCCATGTTTTCAACCCAAGCCGTCGTTGCCTTCGGCCTACCGGCACCGGCCTGCGAAGATGGCGATGACCTCGCGGGCTTTTCGCTCGGCGATCCGAGTTTTCTTGGGTTCGATCGGACGATAGATACTGTGGATGGTTGCGAAATCCATTTCGCACCACCGTTCAGAAACCCCGGGATGATGATTCCCCTGTAAATACCCACGAACAATGGTTTCTCATGGTTTTGAAAGTGGTGCAGGAGTTCGTCCATCCACAGTAGGGAATAAGCAATATACGTGGCCACAAATAATTAGAACGGGGTTGTGGTTATGGCACTCTTCAGGACATGGTGCTGGGAACTATTTCGCCCCTACCAGGAGCCTCAAAAACCGATGAAAATGTCATACCTACAAAAAACACGATGTTTTTTAGGAAAACACGATGTTTTCGGGAAACACCGCATTTTCGATTTCAAGCAGTTTCCCATACATTCCTTCAACTCGTCATCCGTTCTCAAAAGATCTCAAAAGCATCATCTCAACCTCAGAATCTCCCATCGCCCTCCCCTTTTGCACTCGCAACGAAATCAGCTTCGCATTCGCCACTCGTCTTTCGCAACTCCAACCTGAAAGAAGGAGGCCGGGGACCCAAATAGTCAAAAGTACCACGGTTTTATGACACTTGTCAAGCAGCAGTGCCATGATGAGGGCGTGCCTGCTTCGAACAGCGCGCAAGCTCAAGCAAAGACCGTGCTTTTGCTCACGACTTCGTTGTTTTCCAGCAACATTCTCGAATTAGCGCATTCGTGGTTGAACCCGAAAAACCCATAGAATTTCCACGCTTTGCCACGCTTTACTACGGGTTCTCCACGGTTTAGCTACGGGTTAGAAAACACGATATTTTCCAAAAACACAATGTTTTCGGTTGGGCTGCGGGCTTTCTACGGGTTTCTACGGGTTTTCTATGGGTTTCTACGGGTTTTCTGCGGGTTTCTGCGGTTAGCCGCGAGGATCCCGCCCCATTTGCTAAAAAAAACTCACCCAGACGCTCCCAACTCATGTTTCGGGCCCTCGGGCCCTCGCGGGCCCTCGCGGGCCCTCGGGCTGGTTTGGGGGGGGGGGGCTAAGGCTCGTGGCAACATAGCCCAGATTAGAGAAAGCAAATAGATAGTCTAGATACCGGACACTTAATCTGAACTTAGTAATTATCTACTGTTTCTTTTACTGGGAAGAGATAAAGACAGATAAAAAATAACAAATAATAAAAGATCAAACAAATAGATAAGACAACAAATTGACAACACGCAGTTAAAACAGCAGAATTGATGTAAATAACTTGCAAAGAGCTTGCCCTTCAGCAAAAGAAACGTTGCAGCCGGGTGAATCAACAAATGCAACTTTCGAGCTGGAATTGTGGAAGTGTCAAGCACTGTTCTCTCGCTACAGAGTTACAAGAGCCCCCGTTACATACCTCCGTACCAAGGTTCGCGCCGCGTCGGGCTTTGCATGCCCCTTAAAAACCATAGCCATGTATAGTCATAACCCGAACAATGGCATCATCCTGGCGCAACACAATGTGGACCTGGTACAATAAAATGCGCGTCTGAGAACCCACAAGCATAATAAAAATAACGGGGAAGGCCTGGCTTTGCAAAGAAGAGGTTTGGAGGGGCCGCGTTTTCCATTTAGTTTGGGCTGATGGTTCTATAGTTTCATTTAACCCGCTTTTCCATCTAGTTTGGGTTGGTGGTTTGGAGGGCCGGTTTTGCATTCGTTTGGGTTGCTGGTTTGGAGGGGGCAATTGTTTCATTTAGTTTGGGTTGGTAGTTTGGAGGGGGCCGCTGTTTTCATTTGGTTTGGGTTGCTGGTTTGGAGGGGCCGCTTGTTTCATTTAGTTTTTGGGTTGTTTGGAGGGGCCGCTTGTTCTATTTACTTTTGCTTGGTGGTTCTAGTTTCACTTAATTTTCATTGGTGGTTTGGTCGGAGGGGTCCGCTTTTCCATTTGCTGGTTTGGAGAGGCCGGTTTTGACATTATGTTTGGGTGGGTAGTTTGGAGGGGGCTGTTTTGTCCATTTAGTTTGGGTTGCTGGTTTGGAGTTTGGAGGAGCCGTTTGTTTCATTTAGTTTGGGTTGGTAGTTTGGAGGGGCCGCTTTTTTAATTTAGTTTGGGTTGCTGGTTTGGAGGGGCCGCTTGTTTCATTTAGTTTCGTTTGGTTGCGTGGAGGGGCCGTTTTTTCTATTTGGTTTGGGTTGGTAGTTTGGAGGGGGCCGTTTTTCCATTAGTTTGGGTTGCTGGCTTGGTTGGGTTGGGTATTTTTTCCAACTAGTTTGGGTTGATGGTTCTAGTTGCATTTAATTTGTGTTGGTGGTTTGGAGGGGGCCGCTTTTCCATTTACTGTAGTTTGGGTTGGTGGTTTGGAGGGGCCGCTTGTTTCATTGAGTTTGGGTTGGTTGTTTGGAGGGGCCGCTTGTTTCATTTAGTTTTGGTTGGTTGTTTGGAGGGGCCGCTTGTTTCATTTAGTGTGGGTTGGTGGAAAGTTACGCAAGTTGGGTCGCTCAATTCATGCTTCTTTACTTGCGAATTTTGGAAGAAACCAACTAGGTCAACATCCAGGGCCCCTCGAATCTGAGTTCCTGGGCTGGGGAGATTGAAAGACCGACAAAAAGGTCAAAAACCCGGGTTGTGAAATCCTAGTTCCTGATTTGGGGAGACCAACAAAGTTCAAAACGCTGAAAATCCCGGGTCCCCTAAAGTGATGTGATGTGTCTTTACTTGGGGAGTTCAAAAAGTTCAAAATCCCGGGTCCCGAAAGTGATGTTCCGCCGGGTGTTTCTTTACTTGGGGAGTTCAAAATCCAGGGTCCCGAAAGTGATGTTCCGCCGGGTGTTTCTTTACTTGGGGAGCTCAAAATCCCGGGTCCCGAAAGTGATGTTTCTTTACTTGGGGAGTTCAAAAAGTTCAAAACCCCGGGTCCCCAACGTGATGTTTCTGTACTTGGACAGTTCAAACAATTCAAAAATTCAAAATCCCGGGTCCCAAAAGTGATGTTTCTTTACACGGGGAGTTCAAATGCCGTTTTTTTTACGCAGTTGGAGGGCCTGTCACTGGCCTGCTTGGTTGGGCTCCTGCTTTGCATGAAGTGGGGTTTCCTAGGGAGGGTCCGGGGCCCTCCCTCCTGAAAGGACCCGCCTGTTTGTCGGATACGGGGCCTTGTGGGCCCCTAGTGCAATCCGGACGGGATCAATGGATCGCTGATCGACCAAAATGGCCTCGAATCACATCTCCCCTATCCGACGGTTATCCGACGGCTATCCGACGGCTATCCGACGGTTATCCGACGGTTCCGATCCGACGGTTATCCGACGGTATCCGACGGTATCCGACGCCGGGCCCTCGTAGACCCTCAGTTTTGGGGGCCCCGGCCCAATTATCCGACGGTTATCCGACGGCTATCCGACGGCCATCCGACGGTTATCCGACGGCTATCCGACGGCCATCCGACGGTTATCCGACGGCTATCCGACGGCCATCCGACGGTTATCCGACGGCTATCCGACGGCCATCCGACGGTTATCCGACGGCTATCCGACGGCCATCCGACGGTTATCCGACGGTATCCGATGGTAATCCGAAGCTTGTTTGCAGCCCAAAGGCCCCCAACAAAAAACCAGCCCGAAACCTCCTACGACCGCGAGGGCCCGCGAGGGCCCAAGGGCCCGAAACATGAGTTGGGAGCGTCTGGGAGTAGAGTTTCTATTTTGTTTGCTGTGTGTGGCTGCCATGCTTTTTGTGCAGTTGGATTTTTTCTAGGCCTGTCACTGGCCTGCTTGGTCGGGCTGCTGATTCTCTTGAAGTGGGATGTTTGTAGTAGGGCTGTGTGGATGTCGCTTTCTTGGAGCAGTTGCTTTTCTTCAGGGCCTGTCGCTGGCCTGCTTGGTCCGGCTGTGGCCTGCATGGCCCGCCTGATGACCCGCATGTCCTGCCCACCGCCCACCGCCCACCGCCCTGCGTGAGGCAACAGCTCTTCGCAAGCAAGATTGCCAACAACATCTGCAGAAAACAGGCAGGCAAAGACAACAACCAAATTAGAAACCAGAAAAAAAGCACTTTGCGAAAAGCAGCAGCCCAACCAAGCAGGCCAGCGACAGACCCTGAACAAAACACGGCAGCCGCGGACAACAAGCAATTACTGTAGCAACTCTTACTTAAAAAATCAAAAAAAATCAAACTTTACGAAAAACAGCAGACCAGGCAGGCCAGTGACAGGCCCTGAACGAAATCCAACTGCGCAACAACAAAAAATGGCAGCCACACACAACAAACAAAGCAGCAGCTTTACAAAAAAAAAACAAGACCGCGAAAAGCAGCAGCCCGACCAAGCAGGCCAGCGACAGGCCCTGAAACAAAAACAACTGCACCAAAAAAGCGGCATCCACACACAAAAAGCAAATTAGAAGCCCTACTGCAAAAATCCCACTTCACGAAAATTAGCAGCCTGACTAAGCAGGCCAGTGACAGCATGCACAAAAAACATGGCAGCCACGCACAACAAGCAAATTGGAAGCTCTACTAAATAAATCCAACTTCACGAAAAGCAGCAGCCCAAGCAAGCAGGCCAGTGACAGGCCCTCAGGCCCTGAGCAAAAATCCAACTGCACAAAAAACATGGCAGCTACACACAACAAGCAAATTAGAAGCTTTACTAAACAAATCCAACTTCACGAAAAGCGATGAAAAGCAGCAGCCCGACCAAGCAAGCCAGTGACAGGCCCCTATAAAAACAACAACTACACAAAAAAGAACGCGGCAGCCACACGCAACAAGCAAACTAGAAGCTCTCGGGAAAAATCCCACTTCACAAAAAGCAGCAGGCCGACCAAGCAGGCCAGTGACAGGCCCTGAACAAAATCCAACTGCACCAAAAAAGTGGCACTCAAGCACAACAAGCAAATTCGAAGCCCTACAACAAATCCCACTTTGCTGCTAAAATCACCAGCCCGACCGAGCAGGCCAGTGCCAGGCCCTGAAACAAATCCAACTTCACCAAAACACGGCAGCCACAGACAGCAAGCAAAAAACAACAATCTCTATACTGAAAAAAATCACGAAAGCAGCAGGCCGACCAAGCAAGCCAGTGACAGGCCTTGAAAAGAACCAACTGCACAACAACCAACAAAAACGGCAGCCACACAGAACAAGCAAACTAGAAGCCCTTCGGAAAAATATTGCTTCACGAAAAGCAGCAGCCGGACCAAGCAGGCCAGCGACAGGCCCTGAAGAAAAGCAACTGCTCCAAGAAAGCGACATCCACACAGCCCTACCACAAACATCCCACTTCAAGAGAATCAGCAGCCCGACCAAGCAGGCCAGTGACAGGCCTAGAAAAAATCCAAGTGCACAACAAGCATGGCAGCCACACACAGCAAACAAAATAGAATCTCTACTCCCAGACGCTCCCAACGCATGTTTCGGGCCCTTGGGCCCTCGCGGGCCCTCGCGGTCGTAGGAGGTTTCGGGCTGGTTTTTTGTTGGGGGCCTTTGGGCTGCAAACAAGCTTCGGATTACCATCGGAGAACCGTCGGATAACCGTCGGATGGCCGTCGGATAGCCGTCGGATAACCGTCGGATGGCCGTCGGATAGCCGTCGGATAACCGTCGGATAATTGGGCCGGGGCCCCCAAAACTGAGTGTCTACGAGGGCCCGGCGTCGGATAACCGTCGGATCACCGTCGGATAGTAATGCTAGGGGAGGTGTGATTCGAGGCTATTTTGGTTCCATCCATCCCGTCCGGATTGCACTGGGGGTCACGAGGGCCCCGTATCCGACAAACAGGCCGGTCCCTCCCTAGGAGGGCCCCGGACCCTCCCTAGGAGGGCCCACGAGCCTCTGGGCAAAATTGATTTAAAAAAAAAACAACAATCTCAAAGTGTCACCTGGTCTTGTTTTGCACCAAAAGGAGCTTTCGGATTCCAGCACCCCCTTCAAACAGGTTCGGTATGACCTGGCGCCAGTCTTCAGGTGCCTGTGGCTGTGAAAGGTACTTCAAGACTGAAGCCAGCTGCACACCCTGGCTGTCAGGCTCATCAATGTGGTCCTTAGAATTTGAAGCATACTCAGTATAGAGCGTTGCCCTCAGTTGAAATCTTAATGGGTGATGTCTGTGTGAATCCACTCCCGACCCTTGCCTTTGACCCTTTGCTCCAAGTGAGTGTTTGGCCTCAGAAGCCCATTTTTAAGGGGTTTTATCAAAAACACGATGTTTTTCCTGAAAACACAATGTTTTCAGAAAATCGAGAAAAAAACACGATGTTTTAGTCAGGGTACGACATTTTTACAGGTTCTTGAAGCCCTAGGTATACGGGGGTAGGGATGGCTCATGGGGGTCATTGCCACATTTCCCGCTGAGAATCGGGCAAGAATTAGAGGGTCGATGCAGGGCAACAGAATTTCGACTCGTTTTCCAGGGCAGAAGGCCTGAAAAGACATACCCGTATGACTAGAGCTTCCAAAGCATCATTGCCCGGCGGGGACCAAAAACCCTTTTCGTTGCCTGATGTTGAAAGGACACCCACTCCAAACAGGTTCACTGGGTTGGTCACACTGACCACCTCAGACTGCTTGCTAGTTAGACGGAACAAACAGATCGGAGTAATTCGAACAGGTTGTTCAGTGAAACCACAGACCAACAGGTCCAATAGGCTAGATGACAATGAGCCGAGGCGCGCCTTCTCTGCATGATTCGAATGGTGCATTTGTTGAACGAGTGACTTGTTTAACGATGAACAACTCCAAGTATGGTAGGCCATAAAATATACTGGCACCGGCAAAAGGCACTCTGCAGCCAACATGGAGGTGCACCTCTAAGACGATTTCCCACATCTAAAGGCAGCTCGTGAACGCTCACTTGCCCAAAGGACCCAGAAATGAGGACCCAGAATCAGAAATGACGTACAAGTCAAACAAAAGACCTTTTGGGCCCATGGTGGATTCTCGGCATTCCATGGACTCTCCAACCGTTGGCTCGAGCACATCTTTGCCTCCGGCGGAGCAGGCAACCCCGCGGGTTCCGCGATCCCCGAGCCTTGTCGCGCTTGTCCTCGATCTCCTTGATCAAAGTGTCCACCGCTTCTTGGCCAAAGGCGTCCTTGCCCTCCTGAGCGCACGAGGGGCATTCGCGACGTGAAGGGAACCAACGGCAACCGCGGGGTTCACCAAATCCCAGGTGGGGAACCACACGAAAAGGCAACAAAATCCACTCTCGCAAAATCTCAAATGGCCAGCCTTTCCATGTTTACTCTGCAATTCGGCCAAAAGAAGAGCAAGGGGTTCTCCATTTGACTCACATCTCGGCACCAAGGCAGCCTACATTCATGATGCCGTTGCCGCCGTTGAACTGTACGGAAGTACGCAACTACTAGGGGGTGGACGAAAGGGCTCGACCAGCTAGAGATGTCCCCGGCTTGCCAAATGGGGGGGCCGGATGTTTGGCATCACATGCTCTGTCTCGTGCTTCAATTGTCGTATGGTTTGGCATCACTTCATTCGGGACAGGACGTGGACATATTATATGTGTGTCTCAAACGGGGGACTGCAGCATGGTGGGGTTCCTGTTGATGAGCCCCGCTTTCGTCGTTGTCCCCACGTGACACAGGTCCTTGCTCCAATGAGTCTGCCCCATGTCATTCCCTTGACTGTAGTAAAAAACGGTGACATTGGACCGTTGCTCAGTTGCTCGCCGCAGTCCGCAAACTGACAACCGCACGGAAGCACCCCATAGCCCGCAGAATGCCATGGACAGCCTCAGTCAAGATTTGCTCTAGTGGAGGTGGGGAAACTAGAGAGACTCCTGGTTTCGTCGGGACATTTCGTGTGCATGTCACTAGAAATGGGCACTAGACTATGGGACTTTTGGACCGAGCCTCACTTAGAGGCGATGTTGCAGCAAAAAAAAAACCTAAACGAAGCCGTACACCCCCAAGACTCTAAGTGTCCAATGCCCGGGGTTGGCGATCCCCCAGCTTCGTTTACCTAGCTCACAAAAGAGGAACATGCGTTGGGCGGACAGTAGCAGCCTCCCCTAAAACATAGGCAACTCCCCCTGAAAATGTACACATGGCCAACATGTATCTGCTTAATCCTCTAGAACGTACCTGGGCCCAACAACGGGGTACACCAAGAATAATATTCTCAGGTTCTGTTCCAGGTATAGATCTTAATTGGGGGCCTCTGGTAGACATCATTTAGGTGGGGATTTGTCCACCAACCGCTTTTGAGGTGGCTCCCTGGTAAAATCAATGGCCATATTTAGTGAGCCCAATATAGCTTCGGAGTACACCCAGGTACCTCACTCCCCCGTTTCCCCGCCTTCTTCAGGGAGTAGGCCTCATCGATGAACAGCACTCCTCCGATCGCCTTCTCAACTGCGGAGATGACCTCGAAGTCACAAAGCAAAGGATCCCCTTTCAATGGGCCGAAAAAGGGGCGAAAGTGAATTCTCAGCCTTCCGTCTTATATGTTTTTCGTTCGTGACCGTAGATTCAGCTTCCCTCTTGGAGCTTTGGAAATTGCGGTAAGGAGCTTGGGTCGTTGGCCATCTCAGGGTTCAAAGCCCCAACCGATTCAAACCAAAGCGCAACATGATAGATGGCACGATTTCAACGTTGTGGGCAAGTAAAGGAAACTAATTAAACCCAAACGGGGTGGACGTTCACCCAACTGAACTTAAACAGAATCCAACAGTAAGCCAGGCATTGAACAAGGGGAGCTTTGAAAAAAAACGAAAGGCCTGTCTTTGATTTGCGAAAATTTCACCTTTGCTTGCTTCGGAAACCCATTTTCCAGGTTGAAAGTTGAAGGTCGAGCCCAAAGAGCAACCAAGTTGCCACACATTTGACATGCTTTCCCAAATAGTATTTGGATGTTGTGGTTACACATGTTTCACGGCTCAACGGAGCAAGAAGTCCTGAAAGCTACCCCTGTCATATGCTTGGCTCTCCAAGGACCCCTTTTAACCGTTGGAATGCTTTTTGGAGGGTGCCTGAAAGAACATCGGCGGGATCGCTCAACCCGCATGGTCATCCTCTACGTGGCGGAGTCACAAGGCGTCCTGTTAAAACTCCCCCCGTTCCTCAGACAAATTCCTTGCCCCGGTACAGCATTCGGCAAGTTAAATTATTCTTATAAGGAGAACCTTTTCAGCTTCTGTTAAAGAGAAAGCAACAGGAGTACGACCAGTTTTGGGGGCCCTCTATTTTGACTTTTCCCCAAACAAATGCTTGGCTATGTATATTCCATGTATTCCTTTCAATCTCAAATATGTTTCTAGCGTCCGCCCACCCTTCCGGTGGGTTTCCGCACGTAGCTTCCAGAAAGCGTTTTGATTGAAAACCGTTTCGGCTCAACATTGCTTAATCGCTGTGACCATTGTCCGTCAACTGCACTGTCAGCACAAACAAACCTACGCTGTAAACCCTTCTGCGAGCTTCCGCTAACAAATCCCTTGCGCAAAGTTCCCGCGAGGGCGCGGCGCATGTTCAGAGAATACCTCAAACAGCTGCCTAACGTTGACCCAGGATTAATCAACCCCAGTTTGTCAATATGGCGGGGTTTGCCTCCAACAATGATGAATCCCCACTAACAACCTACGGCGTTTAATGTTGACCCAGGATTAATCAACCCGTCCCATTATTAAAGGGGTGTTCCCTCCAAAAGTGATGAATCCCCACTAAAAGGGGACACCCCCCTATTAATCAACCAGGGGTTGATTACTCCGGGGCTAACATTTTTAATCCGGTGAACATTACCTCGAAACCTAGGTACTGAAATCAATTCGCTCGCTCTGCGCGCCTTCGGTGCGGTCTGTCCCTTGTACTCGGCCACCAGATCAGCACGCGCCACCTCCTCAAAGACCACGTCGTCGCCCTCCTAAGCGACCGGCGACTTTGCCATGGGCCTGTTTCTTGGGTTGGGACAAACTATGGGAACCAACTGCAAGAAAACACAAAAGATAGGCGAGCGGGGAACTCTTCCTGTAGAACTCCCGCTGAAAAGCATGGTGAGCGGTTTGTTGTTCAAATTTGAGCGGTGCATGTGTGTTTGGTTCACGCCCTCCGAACAAGCAAGCAGAAAAGCAAAGCAAAGCAAAGCAAGACAAAGCAAAGCAAACAAAGCGACGCAAAGCAAAACAACCAACAAAAAACAACACAAGACAACACAAAACAGACAAGCACACCAGCACACAAGAAAAACAAACAAGCAAGCAACCAAGCAACCCCAAGCAACCCCAAGCAACCCCAAGCAACCCCAAGCAACCCCAAGGAACCAAGGAACCAAGAAACCAAGCAAACAAACCAACCAAATGACGGAATCTTGCGCCTGGGGCACTAGCCTGCGGCCTTGAACAAAACACAAAAAAGAAAACGGGAGAGCCCCAAAGCCAGAAGCCAGAGCCAGAACCTACAGGTACAAACGAACAAATGAATGGAAGGGAATCGAGGATTCTGATGCCAACTATCTTCAAGAAGGGCGCCTGAGGTTCCGAAACCCAGGATTCCTGGTCTTCCAGCCAGGGTACCTTGTCACCACTTTTAGCACATGAGCGGGGCACAAGTCAACCTCGTCTTGAAAGGAAACAAACCTCGTCAAATCTGGGCAAACCGCTCTACATCCTGACCTGGGAATAAAGGAAGCCACCAACGGATCTTCATTCTGGGCTAAGCTCGGTTTGCCTCCTTCAGCAGGTGCTATGCTCTGGACAGCGGTGGCTGGTGCACTGACCCGGGGAAAGGGGATGAAGCATCCTCTGGGTTGGACCGCCTTGATCAACCAGGACTTTACGCATCCTTTCCCAGAAAGAAATAGCAGGATTTCCCACAGCCTTCGTGATGACTCCCATCTCCACCAGAAGCTCGCCCACCAAACGTGCCACCACTGTCTTTCCAGTGCCTGGACAGGTTTCACAAACAACGAGTGGGTCAAACAACGCGGAACTCGAACTCTACGCGCGGCAGAGCCAGAAGGGTGTTGGTCCTGTACATAAATCCCCTGGCGCGCATCATTTGCATGATTGATCAGCCGAGGGCGGTAGGCACTACAAGTGTTGCATGGCACAGCCAAATGACTTGATGAAACGTACCAAACCTACCCAAGAGGCCCAACCAAAAGATTAAGAGGTCGGCTGAAATTTGGCAATGGGACCAGCGCAAACCACTGGTTGCAAGAGGTTGCAAGTAGGTCACGCATGAAGCCCCGCGGAACCGGATGTCCGACAGCGCGGCGAATGTCTCAAGACCGGTCCGTTTTTTTTGTCAAGGTTGGTCGAATGATACCTTCCAACTTCTGCTTCGGGCGTCAAGCTTGACGCCCCCCAACAGCGAACCAAGGACGAGCAATCGTCTCATGTGTTTGGCCCAGAATTGAGCAACCGAAAATGCCGATTGAAGATGGAATGACCTGGGACCAATGGTGAAGCAACAGGGACCATTTCACAATGGTGCGGTTGTGGCGTGAGGGTCATCCTGATCTATGTTTGCAATCGGCTTAGCTGCGACCTTAGCTTCTCAAGATGTTCACAGGCCGAAAAGGCCTGGGGTGAGCCTGCCTTCCAAGGTGTGGTGAAACCCCCTGTCATGGTTCATCCAAAATTCGGGAGACAATTCCAACCAACCCCCAGTGAGATCTTTGGACCGTGGCAAAGGGACTCACACAGCTGGGGCTTGGTGATATCATCTCTAGCACGCAGGTCGCGCAAGATGCATAGGCTTGCCCTTCGCCACTTTGGCGGTCCTTCATTTGGCCATTTAGGCCGAAGCACACCCTTGCCCAGGCATGGGAAGAAAGGAACCAGTTTTTCCGATGGTCAGTTTGTGCAAGGGCTCAAAACATGGAAACGGGCTGCCACTGGGCAACTGAGTGGTGAGTCATCTGGCAGCTGCCTGGGTTGCCCAGGAACTGCATGTGGAAGGACTGGCCCATGAGACTCTTGGAATCCGGCAGCATCGTCTTGCGCCTCAGGCGTGCGAACACTGATGTAGATTTTGTTTTTTTGTGGGTGGGGGGGGGGGGGGGGGGGGGGTTTTTGAAAAAACCAGTGGCTCCTTGTGAAATCTTTGAAGCCAGGTGTCTAGTGTGGGCCGTTCTAAGGGGTCCATCATGTTGACTGTGCATTTGAATCATTCACCAATCCTAAACAAAGGCTCCCCTGTAACCTTCGTGGGGCCCAAGGTCGGTGTTCGAGGTCGTGATTCGATTGGTCCAAAGCCTTGGCACCTCACTTACCACTAAGCTCTCGCTCCTGTTGTAAATGACGGTTACTTGGAGCAGGGGAGATATTTTGGGGCCCGGGCTGTTGACTTCCCTTTAGATGTCGCCCAAACGGTCCAAACTCCAAACCTACCTCCAAATGCAAACGTAACTCACAGATTCCATAAAAGAACCATGCTTCCGCAACATGCAATTAGGGACTCTGCCGAGGAATACTCCACAGCTTCTGCTACCCTTCGGGAAAGGGCGGACAGGCATGGACTCCAAAGCTTTCAAAACGATGTCCTTTGGTCCCCCCTAGTCCCGCATACGGATGGCCGTCTTCCCGTCAGGCGACGTTTTTCTTCCCCTTCTCACTGCTTGTTGTGTTTTGCTTCTGAGCAGGGGGTGCAGGAGTTCCTCGCATGCAGGATCTCACTGTTAGAGTGGATTGGCACAAACAAGCAGTCCAGCCGCATGTTTACCACTCAAATGATCTTCCCAACCGGTATACAGAGTGGAAAATTGGACGGGATTGAACTTGACAAATTCTACAAGACGGATCATCAGTTGCCAAACCCATCATGTGGGTGTTTTCATTGAGGACACCCTTTTGTAGTTTTAAAGGGAAACCACAAGGAAAGCCAACAGGGGGTGGTGCATAGAAAAAGACACACCCTATCAAGAGGGGTTTGTTCAGGAAACTCTAGGATCTCAAACAGGACCAGGAACCCATTTCAGGATGTGCTAGTTGCTACCTTGCACTCCACGGCAATGCGAAACAAGGCAAAGTGCGGCATCATTGCATAGTCCCTCATTCGGATCGGAACCACATAGGCAAGCGTGAGTCGCAGTTGCGCAGCGCGAGCGGAGGCCATGATAACATGCACTACCTCTTCCAAACAGCGTATCTATGGCGTGACATGCTAAGCCACTTCCGCAGCGGTGTCGCTGCGTTCGCCCCTGCCCAAGCAAATGGCGAAACCACAATCGTAGCTTTCGGGCACACCAAAATACTGGGTCGTAGCGTTGTGTCCGCCTTCGCAAGAAAACTCCGCGCCTGTAAAGGTACGCCCCCAGAATACATCACGGGGCGTCCGACCTTGCTCCAAACACATGTCCCATTTCGCCTTACAGCCAAGTCACTCGGCAAAACATGCCAAGGCAACATGGGAAATGGGCGGTGTATGAGAAGAAACACATCAAGTTAAGGCGTTTACAGAAAGCAAACAGCCAGCACTCTCCCACGAGGGGATTCCTGTATCACAAACAAAGCCCTAAAACAGGGTTTGCCACGACCCTGGTTTCGGACTTTAGGTTTTCCCTTTGCTTTCCGCATTCTGGGGTGCTCTTCCCTGAGCAGCAGCTCGAACCTCTTGTGGGTTTACCAACAGTAGACGGTCTAACAAAACAAAAAGACCAGAGAGGCTGATGCAACCTAATTCCAGTTTCATGAATAGATCAAACACCCAAAAACCAGCCAAAAAGACACCTAATCAGTTTTCCCCTACCAAAAAAAATACAAACACCCCGTCCCCAACAAAAAATACAAAGACCCCGTCCCCTACAAAAAAAAACAACATATACAAAGACAGCCGCCACGGCCTCCGTTTCTTTTTTTTGCGGATACGAGGAGCCATTGGTCGAACTCCACCATGGCGCGCAACTCGCCCATGCCAGCCTTCACCTACGGTGGTTCGGCCATTTGGCCATGGCACATCCAAGGAAATGGCCATGTCGTCTTTCAGGTCCTCTCTTTGGCGGTCGCTACAACGGAAACCACAGGACATCCCACGCATTGCAAGACAAACCACACATCTCCAAACAGGGGGGGGAGGGGCTATTTGGGTACTTTTGTTAAGCGTTGATTTCCCTTTACTTGCTGATACTCAATTAACAAATAAGGGAATGAACCCAGGGGTCCCCTGAAAGGAAACCAGGGGTCATTCCATTTCTCATTCCCTGCTGGGGTTGCCCGGATTTTAGCCTTTGTTTCCATCCACCAAGGTGCCGTTTGGGGTACCATGTTTTCAGCCACAGCCATTTGGCCATGGGTCGAAATCCAAATCGGATAGCCCCCAGTGACCATCAACCAATCCAACCACGAAAATAGGTTCTCAAATGGGTGGTGCAATATGGTACCATTGGTTTTGACCAGCCATTTGAGTGCTCCAAAAGGAACATAGGGGCCTAAAGAACTACCTGGAGTCTCCATGACCCTTAAAAAATGGGGTCATTACCCAAAATTAAGGGGTCATGGACCCATGTTTTCAGGATCATGGAGACTCTAGGTAGACTTGGTGTGGGGTTCCTCTTTAAACATATTGGTGATTATAGTAGAATCCTGTGGAATATCATATCATGTTGCCCCCCGTACTAGTTGTTTTGTTTGGTAAACAACTCGAACCTTTTTGAAGGTGGAACTGAATACTTTTACCTTTCAAACAGGCACAAATGCAAACTTGTTTGACCAGTACATGCTCCGAATAAAAGACGGGTGTATACAGCTGCCCTTCAACTTGCCCAGTGTGATTCTTCGCACTGGCCTGGTCAGAGCCCATTTGCAGGTCATGGGTAAACGGCATTTGACGGCGGAAACGTCACGCGATGGGCAAAGCTCTGACCAACTTGGAGGCCCAGACTTGGAACTTGACGGTGGAAGACCCATTTTCCTCAAGGGACCTGGTGGGGGAGCCATGTTAGGGTCGCATGGCTAGCTTTAAGCATTCTTGCAACATCGCTTCACTGGGCCAAAAGGTTGATGTTATGCTCTGCAGAAGTGCCGCAAAACTCCCCGTACTTGTGGAAAGTAATCATGTAATTGCGCAGTGTAGGCTTCCCTTCAAAGGAGTCCATGACAACTGTCCATGGCGACTAGTTCATGCTGTTCTGAGCTGATCGAAAGGTGCTGAACACGTTGTAAGGGATGCTTCTTTGGGGGTCATGCCCTTATTCCTTCTGAGAACCAGCAAGTAAAAGGCTTAAGGTTCTCACCTTTTGGCCCCTGGACCAAAAAGAAACGCGCACACGTGAGTTTGTGCGAGGTGAAAATAAAATCCATGGAGCCCATGGCCCAAGACGTCAGGAAACTCGGAGAAAAAAGGCGCAACTCTGGCGTGGATTGGCCCGAAAAGGTCCGAAAGCGCGGTGTGCCTTTCAAATGATTGTCTCCAAAATACAAATCTGGGTCGATGCTGGTGTCTATTTAAACAGACACGCACGGCCAAGAAAAACCTACCCTGCCAGGGGGGTCCTGGAAGACCATTTTCCTTAAAAAGGGGCCTGGGTCCTTGTCAGGCTCCGGCTGTGGTGGGAGGGTAACACCTTGCGCCATTTAACTTGACCATCCTGATGCTTCAGGCGTGGCAACCACGCAAAGCTGAAAATCAGCCACCGCAGGGTAAGGTACATCTAGGCGGATTCTACCCACCAAATGGATGTCAACTACAGTGCTTCAGGCCCCTGTCTTGAAAGGAGGGTTGCAACCTCGGCATTTGTATGCCCAACCCCCGGGTAAGAACAATGGCAACCCCAGTAACCAAAACGGGATCCGCACCCAGGCCAAACCCCTGGACAAAAAAACAAACAAAATCCAAACCCCTGCAACAAACCCCTGCAACAAACAAACCTGTAGAAAAAAAGAGGAGAGCAAACCCCTGCAACAAAAATCAAACCAGACCCCTGGAACAAACATAAATCCAAACCCCTGTGGGTTAAAAAAACATGGGCGGTGGAGAAAAAAAAAACGAAAGCGGGACGAGAACGGAGCCTTGGAGAGCCCCACCAGCTTGTTCAGCTTGGCCATTAGCGTGTCCACCTGGGCACGCTAAGAAGCAACGATGTTCCACACCAGGCAAGACCAGAAAGACATATATATATATATATATAATGTTATATATATATAATGTTATGTAATACATATATATATATATATGTATGTATGTATGTATGTATGTATGTATGTATGTATGTATGTATGTATGTATGTATGTGTGTATGTATGTATGTATGTATGTATGTATGTATGTATGTATGTATGTATGTATGTATGTATGTATGTATGTATGTATGTATGTATGTATGTATGTATGTATGTATGTATGTATGTATGTATGTATGTATGTATGTATGTATGTATGTATGTATGTATGTATGTATGTATGTATGCACATGTATACATTGATATATCAAATTGAAATGCAACTGGGACCTACATATTCTATACATATATAAACTTGTATATGTTTATAGTACATATGCTTTGAACATGCGTATGTACATGTGTTTCTTTCTACGGATATATCCCCCATGAGGTCGCTAAAGTATAAGAGTGCGGATTTGATTTTATATTTCTCGGATTTTTGTGAGATGTGTTTATTTTTTATTTTATTTTTCCTCGTTTTTCGTCCGGGCCAATAACATGTCGTATTTTACAGCATTTTCTCGCGAAATTGACGCATTTTACACTAGCCCGCCAACATCCCCAGCATCGTTTTCAAAATCCCCCGCACGTCCGACCAACATCCCTAGCATCACCAACAAATCGTGGGTAACATAATCAACAAAAGCTGGCGGGTTGACGGGGTCAAAAAATGATGTTTCAAACAGGAGGGCATTTCAATCCCGGAAAAAGAAGAAACAAAACGGGGGGGTTGGGGGGGGCGGTAGCCCCCCGCATGATGTTCGCAGAAGTGATGATTCGAATAGCTCTGCAAAAAGTTTAAAAAGTAGCGGGGGGGTTGGGGGGGGCGGCAGCCCCCCCCAAGATGTTCGAAGAAGTGATGATTCAAATGGGGTGCAATCAAATCTCTGTAGAAAATCTAAAACGTATCGGGGGGGTTGGGGGGGGGGGGGGCGGCAGCCCCCATGATGTTCGAAGAAGTGATGACTCAAGTAGGGGTGCAATGATTCAAGAACGGGTGCGATAGAATTTTAAAGGCAGCGGGAGGGTTGGCGGGGGTGGCTTCCCCTATGATGTTCGAAGAAGTGCATACATACAGACATACATGGATTACACAGATTACCTAAAATGTGGTATTTTACAGCATTTTCTCGCGAAATTGGACGCTCTGCAAGAAATCTAAAACGTAGGGGGGGGGGGGGGGTTGGGGGGGAGGCGGCAGCCCCCGCCATGATGATTGAAGAAGTGTTGATTCAAACAGGGGTGCAATTGCTCTGCAAACAATCTAAAAAGTAGCAGGTGGGTGGGGGGGAGCCCCCCCATGATGTTCGAAGAAGTGATGATTCAAAAGCTGGTGATGCTTGTGATGCGGGAAGCCAAATCCAAAAACCAATGAAAGGGTGCAAAAGCCAAACCGCCCGGCAAGGAATTGGGAAAGCAGAGGATGCGAAAAGCCAAAGCCGCCAAAAGCCGCATAAACCAGCTTTTCGCAAAAGCCGCAACAACCAACAAGAAGCCGAAAAGCCAAGAAGTCGAGAAGCCAAAAAGCCAAGAAGCCGAAAAGCCACGAAGCCAAAAAGCCAAGAGCGAAAAATAATAATAAACAAAAAAAAACGGAACAAATCATAACACAACTTAGACCATCTGCAACCAAAAGGTCAGTTTCGCCCAAGAAAGTGCCCTCACTTCCGATCAAGTGGGCAAAAAAGTGACCACACTTTATGTTTGCCACTGGTCCAAAGCACAGTGACTAGACTCCAGGAACTAGGGGAGTGAGTACCCATAAATGCGGGAAACATTGGGAGATGATACTCCCAATGCGTTGATTGTTTTTTTTTGGGCCTCATTATTTTACCATGATCAAAGTCACCCCCTAAGTGATGGGTGAAAGGGAAACTACCCCATTTTCTGACTTTGATAACCCCTAGAAACGGTCGAACAAATGACCCCAGTTTTCAGGGTCCAGTCACGTTCCAATTCCCCCAATCGCCTTGACATTGGTGCCGCCGGGCACTGCCACCTCCTGGATCGCGTCCGCGGCCGCATCCCTCGCCGAGAATGCCGAAGCGGCCAACCCAGTGGTGGGCATGAATTTCCACCTGAATATATGGGCGTGGCTCAAATTTAAAAAGGAGGGGTTACGCAGGTTTTGGTCCATGTTTCCACTTACCAGGGTCCCATTTTGGGTACCGGTTTTTTGAGCCACAGCCATATGGCCATGGGTCAAAATCCAAATCATACCCCCAGTGAACATCCCAATCCCCCTAAAATAGGTTCTAAAATGGGTGGTGCACCTACCCCAAAATGGGATCCCATTGGTTTTGACCCACAGCCATATGATGTCCGCCCCACCTTCCCACCCAACATCGCCCCTACGATTTGATAGACGTTGGGGAGTCGTGGAAGGACTTTGGGACCTTGTAAAGAGAACTTCCGTTACCCTTGTCACGAGGTTTGGTCTTTCTAGCCTTTCCGAGTCTTGCAGCTGCAAGCCAAGAGTCAAGCTAACCGGGTTGGAAGAATGCGTCTGAACGTGCATGACATCTTGTGCAAAGCAAACCTACAAAACACACATAATTCAAGAGCAAGCTTAGTCTCTGCGAGAAGGGCAAAAAAGAAACGTAGCGAAAAGGGATAAAGCATGAATCTGTGCTCTGACTACTGCGGGTGAGGTCACGGTCTCCTTCGAAACTCCAACATGCAACAAGTTCTCACTCTCGTTCTCCACCTCGCCAAATGAGCAACCTGGACACGGCAATGCTAGTTAAAACCACACACAATAGTGCGTGCTGAGGTGTGTACATGAATCAAGAGATTGGGGTGAGAAGGCAAACATATCGAAGCACAAACATGCCAAGCAGGCACATCGGCATTCCAGGAAAGAACGAAGACAACAGAACTTACAGATGTAACAGAACCCCAAAGGGCGGCACGTGCACGATGGCCTGCAGCCTTTTAGAGCAAATCAAAACAAACAACCCGTCGCTGACCCGGTGTGTGCTGTGTGTGTCCCAGAGTTTGCCGGGGCTTTTGCGTTTCTAGCTGGTTGATGTTGCCATGGGCCTGGGACAAGTGAAGCGAGCCACTCTCATATAGGTGGCGAAGATGACCCCAAAAATTCCCGATCTGAGGTACCAAAAGAACCTATTTTATTTTACCATCAGGAGGTACCAAGGGACATTCTGGAAACATGCGAAAGAAGCCCCCGAGTTCAGCATGCCCAAGTTTCCTGCAGGACCGCGAGCGGCCCGCCTGTCGTCGAAGCCATGCTTGATGCCGGCGCCAGGCACAGTGGGCGCGTCACTGGGCAAAGCGCGGGCAACATTAATGTGTGAGGGCATATAAGCAACCCCACCAACCCGAAAGGGTCTTTTGACCATGGCAAAATGGAACAAGGACTGATCAGTTGGGTATTTCCAAACATGGAGAACTCATGTTTAATGGTGTTCAAAGGGAGTTCAACAGACACAAAACTACAGTTGGGAGTAAGCGAGGGGCCGTCAGATACTGGTGATTTTCTGTATCTCTTGAATTCCCAGGACTTTTCATCGCACCCTTCAGGAACCGGGCAACATCAGCAAAAGCTCTTTTGCTCGTGCCCAACAACCAGCCAGACAGGAACCCTAGTCTCGGGAAAGAAAGAGAGAGCGAGAGAGAGAGACAGCCCGAGCTCCCATGTTCCAACGGCTGCAAAGGCCACTCCTTGCAAGCCAAGGGGGCCTCGCCGACTTGACTTTCTATGAATGTCAGCTTCGGCTGAAGCGCGAAATCAAAGAGCCAGCCTTGAATCAAATCCCCAGCAAAGGGCAACCTGATTTCTGCACTTCCGTTTTGAAGGTTGCCGTTGGTCGTGGCGAACAGCCAAAGTGATTTGTAGCTTGTTTTCACTCAGGATGTTCAGTGCAAACCCCTGAAATGAGCTGGTCAAACCCCAGTTTCCAGAAACCACAGTGGCCATGGTGGTTCTTTTCCAGGAAAATCATCGCATTTAAGATTATGAGTCCTCAGTAACGCCTCTTTGAATTCGGAGCGACGTTGACACCATTCTCCTGTCCTCAGCTTGGGGATTTGCCAATCCGAGGAAATATCAAACTCCAGCCCAAGCCACTTCAGTACTGTTCTAGTTGCGGCTTTGGCAACTGGAGGCACCCGATGCGGTGTCTTCAAGATACTCCTTGAAGACTGACATGGAATCGGAACCTGGAAATAGAATGACAAAAATATGGCAGAAGCCTCATTTTGTGTTCGGACCCTCTCTCGATGTTCGTCAGGGCAACCCGAGTCGAAAGTCCAAATCCGCGCCCGCCGAGCCGCTCGAGGTCTGCGTAGGGGTTCGGCCGACGGATGTTTGGTCGAGCCGGTGGATGATGCGGCGAAGGCGGAGGAGAAGGACCTCGGTTGCTTTCTGCTCCCCTGCTCAAAGTGTAACTTCAGCATATGTTTAGTGCCCTCCAATGAAGGGCGCTTGACGTGCTTTTCCATCAAGGGCACTGAAGGCCGTGTCGGTGGCCTAAGTGTCCCTTTGATTCGTTTGCTAAGTGCACTTTTCGGCTTGATAGGGGTTGGGATTCTGTTGAAATCGAACAGCTACCCGTGTCAAAGTGTGACAACTGCCACATTTGATTGGGGCCGGCCCGGAAAGTCCCAACATGGCATGTTGAGTGTCAAAGCGTGTCATTTGAGTGTCAGTGGGGGTGCGAATCGAGGTCACTTACCCCTTGAAAGGTCACTTACGTTAGTGTCGGTCCTCACTGCGTGAGTGTCATTCGCGTGTCGCTGAAGATCGATTTGCCCAGCGTCGGTCCCCCCCCCCCGTGTGAGTGTCATTCGCATTCACGTGTCGCTGCGGCTCGATTTGCCAGGGCAACCCTAAGGGTCTAAGTGACCTTTAAATGGCTTAAGTGACCTCTTTGATTTAGGACTAGGGCCCTTATTCTCAAAATGGATCATAGCAGCCAAAAAATGAATCGAGGGCTCTGAAAAGAAGCTGGCGCCGGCTTTTAGCCCATTAGTTGGCAAAAAGTGTTAAAGTCCTAACATCCAAGCAAAATGCACCAAAGGGACGATCGTGATGAGAAGGACGATCGTGATGAGAAGGACGATCGTGATGAGAAGGACGATGCCCATGAGCTGGCCGATCCTGAAGCAAAAGGCAGGCTGATACGCCCGAGAATACGCACAGCGCAAACTGATGCAAAGATACAAATGATACTGTGGATGGGCGAAATCCCGCACCACTTAAGAAGCCCTGGAATGATGATTCCGCTGTAAATACCAACAATGGCTTCCCATGGTTTCAAAGCGGTGCGAAATGGATTTCGTCCATCCACAGTACTGCTGGACATCCACCTCTCTTGGCCCTGACGGGATTGGTTCTCCCTACCCCAGGTATATGTCCAGCCAAAGAGGTGTGTGTTTGAGCAATAGTGGCGTTGGCCCCAACCCTGTCAATCCACCCCTTCGTCTGAATGAGCCTTCCACCATAGACGGAGCGGTCCTTAATCACCATATTAGTTGCTATTCAGACGGGTCGATTGAACAAGCGGCCCTGTAGCAGCCCTTGCACAAATGATGGGTTCACCAACCCAAGTGCAATCACCCCTGGGACGTGATCCATCTTGATATTCCCTGCAGCCTCGGGCAACCAACGTGCATAATGGGATATAAAGGCTATGTATTTGGAGCGCGTACATCAGCCACAAACCATGGCAAACTGCTAGTTTGCTTCTCTTCCCCTACATGCAACAGTTGTATCTTTCCTAAAACTGGGACGAGCTCTAACTTTCCCACAAGAACCAGGGGACTCATGAAGACGTCTTCGTATGTCCTTTCTGGAACCGCATGCTTTGAACGGCAAGTCGAAAAGGTCGGCTTGGGGCAAGTGTGGGCTCCTGTACTCTCACGGTCCCATTGTTCAGGGATCGCAGTTTCTCGGAAAATAAGTGCTTTTTGGAAAAGAAACAGATGGGTGAAGAGAATGGGGCATCACATAGATTTTCTCACAAAAATCGCCAGCTACATCAGGAAGGTCGAAAAAAACACACCAGCAATCTCCCTTGACCTTGACCTTGGTGGGTGCTTGGCTAATGTCCACTGGATCTTCCGGTATAACTGGTTCACATTGGTTTATGCAAATGGGTCCCGGGAGATGCTGCCGGCCGGCGCAGCTTGCAGGTGGCTCCTTTTTCTATCATATGATTTACAAAAATTGGAGTAGGTACCCAAAACGGAAACAAGGACTAAAGTCTGTGGTCCCGTGGTAGTTTAATTTTGACCCCTACCCCCCATGTGGGGGGGGTACATGGGGTGACCCTTCAAAAAAACCACCACCACAAAAGATGATTTTGACCACTATAAATGGGAAAAGTTCCTAATCATCATTTTGGGGCCGAAGGGAGTATTGATCAACCCCCTTGTCTGGACTTCTCCTCATAGTGCTTGATTCCCATTGGAGGTCAAATCAGATCGGCCCCCTTTGTTGGCCAGCTGCGAGACAAAAAAGCATAAGCGCAGCCAACTGGAGCTCCAGATTTGAGGAACCCGGTTGAAATTCCACGGATTGTGATTCGGAGGCTTCGCAATATGGACCCCTTACGGTGGTTTTGAAGGGGAAGCCACGATGAAACAGCGAATTTGGGTGCTCCCTACTCTGAACTTTATCGAGGAATACCATTCGAAATAGTGAACATGAATCCCCACCGACAACCATGCCCCCCAGAGTCACCAAAGGTTCCCTACCAAAAACATTATGCCCCCCCCCCAAAGAGCTCCCTACACTGCCCCTTCGAACATCACTCCAAGGAAACTCACTCTGGATTAGCCTAAATGGTGATGTTCAAAACAACCAGGTCCTCCAGTAGAGAGTTTAGAATAAGGGTACCCCTTTTTCTGTAGTCAGTCTATTTTAGTAGGGGAACCGAATCTCCCCCAAAAAAGAAATGGCAAAAGGGCACGATCCTGGGGACTTAGACAACAGAAGTGGAAATATGCGGAACACAAAAGGCTTCAGGGAGATGAATCGTTGCGCAAGTCTCCACCCGCGTGGGCTGCGCCGGAAGGGCCACCCCGTTGGTAGCCGCAGCCTCGGAGTACGTCCAACGAAACCAAGCCGAAGAGTCACGAGAAATCCCATCGCTGACAATGCCAACACTACGTGAGGTTTACGTGCTCGCAAGACTGGAACGAAAGCTTGAATATCCGAAGTGAAAAAGAAGCTAACATACCATGGTTCAGAATTTCCCATGAAAGAACACTTCATGGCGGCTGGAATCTCTCGTACGCTCAACTCGCCGAGTAGCTTGGCAATGAAAAAGATCTCTCACCCAATCCCAAAATCTGTCAGCCCCTGCCAAAGCCTTCACAACGCCCATGTTCTCCTACCCAGTGACTCCTAATTCTTGCAGGCAAACAAGGGGAACTGCCCCGGAAAACTGAGGGATGCCCTGCTGCCCTAGTGAGAACTCACTGAGCCGAATTAAACAAATGAGTCGTGTTTGTGTTGGAAGGCAATGCCGATGACGCTGCGCACGCCTACGCCAACGCCTACGGCATGTGCAAATATCAGGAAGGTGCCCTTGGAAGCTTGCATGCATTCAAAGTCCCTGTTGCGAGCCTATGCAAAAAAAAGATGAGCTCCTTAGTTAAATTCTAAGATAGAACACTTGCCAATCTCAACGGCAAGCTGCGTCTTCAACAGTTTAACCTTCTGCCTGCTTGCTTTCCTCTCAGACAGGCAAGTTGCCAACAGGAGCCTACGCCATGCCTACACGCAAAGCTTTCCAGGCCACCATCGACAATGGGCTACATGCGGCTCCGCGCGTGTAGTGATTTACCTACGCGAGGCCTGTACATCCATCCTCCTTTGGCCTTTTACAACCGTTGTTTTTCAAATCTCTCATGGTCCTTCGAGGCTGTCCGAAATGAGCTAATGAGCCTGTAAGGAAAGATCTTTGTTGGTAGACGATTGTAGATGGTCCAAATGCTAGCCGGGTGAGAAGTCACCGGAATGTGCAATAACGGACAATGGCGAAGGGTTGCCTACTAAAGTCACTAGCGTGGCTTGCCTAGAATCCAGTGAGTTCAGGGTTTCTTCCTTCACAATACTTGTTCTTGAGTCGTTCAAGTTCCAAGTCGATGTTATGTTCTGCAGCTGCCCGCTCGTCGCGTTCGTGCGGGCAACTTGCACGCAACTGCGGAGTTTCCTGCAGTAAGGTGTTTCAGAAACTCGCCAATGACAAGTCACAGCACCTACCTAATGTTGACTCCGAATTCGGTGTCCCTGGTTTTAGTGGGGATAAAAACCACAAAAAAAAAACACCCCTATATTTCTATAGTGGGCTTCTCACCCGGGGTCATTGAACTTCCCATTCCTCCCATAAGCCCCGGGCCGACTTCTTCACGAAGCAGCGCACCGAGCTGCGCCCGGAGGCATAGCGCGGCACCACGCCCGTGTAGATGTAGCAGCCTACCGCTTGCCAAGAGAACCCACAAAAAAACAACTCGGAGTGGTTCGTGCTTGGTCTTTGGAGGGCACCTTTCGAACCTCGGGCAAGTGGGTGGTTCTTCTTCTCTTTTTTTTCATGGCACGTTGTTTTTAAGTGTGATTCGGGCACGAGCCTGTGCCCAGGCAATGGGTAAGTTGGGGTAAACAAGCCACAAAAGAAAGGTTCCCCAAAAGCAAACCAATCCCCGGTCCCAAAGATCAGGGTTTCCCACACACCAGAGAACAACAACCAAAAGGAAACAAACCAAACAAGAAAAGGGTTAACCCGCAACCTTGGTCGACAACAGGCCGCACGACTGGTCCCTACCAACCTGGCGGCGGCCCGAGGTCTCTTTCTCCCCCGAGATGCCGTCGGTCGACGCAGGGGTTCGGCGACGCCCATTCGAGGCGCGACGGAACCCAAAACTTGAGCCAAACACCACAGGTCAGTCACTACCGCGACATCCCTGTGATGAAATGAATCATGGCTAATCACACCCCCCTCACGAGGAGCCCGTCATATGACGGGTGGAGCGTGCCATTTACTGATAGGATTTAACTGCTCGCATGCGTCCGCAAACAGCTGGACACTACCGCCGTCAGCGGTGGAGCAAACCCACAAAGGCAGTTGCGCGACATCCCGGGCATTAAATTCCCGCCACCACCCCGAATTAATCGGGGTAACGCTGTCCAACATACCTTGTGGAAAAGTCCACGTGACGACATTAGGCCACAACTGTTTGCATCAACAATGCAAGAAGTTTAATTCTTATCAGAAGCCATGAAAAAAAGATAACGTATGTCCATTAGTACCCTCGCCTAACGGCAAGAGGTACTCCTGACCATGCGTACCTGAAAAATGCTTGAATTCCGCAAACCCGGGAGTAACCCCCCATCAGTTTGCTTTCCCTCTCACTCACACTGCTTCCCGATGGACACGTCCAGCAGCCCAGCAGCGGTATGGGAGAGACATGACCTCCGCGCCTCAGCGGTCCGGGAGGGACATCACCACCTCCGCACCGCGCCGACCATTGGAGAATGGACGCAAGCCTATCGGCCGCAATCCTCGTGACTCAGCCTACCGGCTATCGTCACGTCTCCTCCGGTCACGTCCGCCCCGCGCACGGTCCCTATCACGATCCCTTTCGGATCTCCTGCGATCATCTCGCCTTCGATCTCGCTCCCGATCGAGTGAATCATCATCACGACGATCACGAGCATCGTCCCTCCTCCGGTCTCGATCATCCTCGCGCCGCGGACGGTATCTGCGCCTTCTCGACTCTCTGGAATCCCTGGTGTCCACGGTCCTAACGGACCTCCGAGAAGGAGTACGGGAAACATCCGATTCCCTATGCCTCCTCCCAGATCGAGAGTTCGTCACGATCTGGTTGAGAGCCTCCAGTGCCGACGCGTCCTCACCATTCCTGATGAAATCCCTGACCTGCTTGTTCAGCACTCTATTGGTGGAGATCGACAAGAAAGCGTCCACCACCGAACTCTCAGGCAGCACCAGGAAGTGACCCTCCACCGGGCTCGCCGCAGCCCGCTCAGCAGACTGCAGCCGGATCTCCCCGCCTTCAGGCTTCTTTGCCATCGCCTTGGAGGCCGTCAAAGGCGCTACCGCATCCTTTGCCGAAGATCTGCCAAGCGCGGAGTGAAGATCATCCCCGCTAGCTTCTCTCGCTGCCGCACCTGGTCTGCTGTCGACGTCGCCAGGCCTCGTGGACGCCTCCCGCTTTGTCGACTCCTTCGCAGCCTCGTCGGGATCCCAACGGAATTTCCTTTCTCTCTTCTGTCCTTCGGCCGACCCGCGGCTACCGCCGGGAGCGTCACCTCCTCCTGTCTTCTCCTTCTTGACCTCAACCTTCGGTTCGGCCTGCTTCGTCTCCTTAGCCACAGCTTTTGGAGCCGGGGCACCCTTCGCCTCAGAAGCTGAAGCGGCCTTCCCCCTCGGCTCGGCCTTAGGAATCGGGGTCAGTTTAGCCTTGGCACTCGGCCTGGCTCCTTCAACCACCATCTCGGCCCAAGACTTCTTCGGCTGAGCTGCCGCTGTATCTACCTCCATTGGAGCAGGTCCAGCATCGTCCTTCGCCTTTGGGACAGATGGGCTACCGCCCTTACCAGATCCTTTACCTGGCACATCACCTGATTTCGGTGGTGGGCCGGAAGGACTACCGCCCTTACCGCCCTTTTCCCCTTTCTTCCCTTTTCCTTTTCCGCCCTTGGGGACCGGCTCCTGCTTGGGACCAGGACCCGGCGCAGCATGATGCACCGATTGGAGTCCCTCGATGTCCACGTTCAAAGGTTCGGGTTGACGACCGTCAAGAACCGTCCTCACCCTTTCGTCACTAACGTAGACGAACGGGTCACGGAAGGGTGCGGGAGGCTCCGACTGTCCGGCGCTGATCGCCTTCTGCACCTTGGCTATCGCCTCCTTCAACCTCTTCTTCTCATCGTACCCCGTCTCCGATACCATGTACTTCCTGAGCTGCGAAATCAACGCATGACTCTCCAGGATGTCCACGTCCTTTCGATGGGTCGGGTACAATGGGGTCAGATGACCAGCCGCAGAACCAATCACGTATGCCATCGGAATATAGAATGACAAGTACGTGTCATGACGAGCGAACTTCCTAACGGAAGTCGTCATACGCCTACCCCACTGAGCAGCGTGTCTTGGGTTGGCCCGGAAGTACTCCGTGACCGACTCAAATCTATCGACTTGGTTGGTCTTGATCAGGTGCTTCGCCACCCACTTCTCCACAAACGCATCCGATGCCGAAATCCCGGACACATAGGAGAATTGGAATAGCACCTTCGCCAGCTCATCCCACGCCGCATCGACACCTCCCTTGTCTTCACCAAGATAAGGGGGAAGTCTGATGCCGCTCTGCACCGTCATCCTTAGATCGGATGCCATTGAATAGGAAATCAAATTCCTCTTGATGACTCCGACCACTTCGGAGGGAATCCTCCTGGGCTTGAACTGCCCCATTGTCCTCACCCACTCCGGCACGATGTGGCACGTTTCGAAGTCCTTTTCCTCCGCGTTGGGGATAAAGTTCGGGTAAAAGACCGGGAGCGCGCACCCGGGACACAAGTGCATCCCATTCGGCATCAATTCTGCGCACCTCAAGCAGAACGTGGCAGTCACATTCAGCCTGATCTCTTCCCGTGATCGCTTGTGCTCTCCCCTAACGGGGGTGAAGTCACCGTAGTCCCATGCCCGATGGTACACTATCGTGTAATCATCGTACATATACGCCGCCTTCCAAGCCCCCATGTGGATCTCGTTCCTAACGGCAAGAGTCTTCCTTCTCGTCAAAAACACGGGTCCAACCAAGGACCAGTGCACCCGAAGATCCACCATTACCACCACGTACCTACCGGAGTAGTTCCGCAGCCTGTCCCTGACATACCACGAAGGCGATACCTCAGCATCCGGCGCCATGGCTCCCACAAGTGGGATCAGGCCCTCATCCTGCCTACCATCCCCAATGGTCTCGTACACATCGGGCCTCGTGATCAATATCTCGATCATGGCCTTTCCATTTCGCCTCACCCTTTGGAGCTGAACCGCCTTCCGAAAGTCCGAGAACTTCATGATGACGTATCCCACCATGGGGAGTTCATTCCAATGCATCTCATACATCAGAGATCCGCCAGGTGCATCTTCCTGAGTATACCTGTGCCTAACGGCACTGTAACTCAAGTCGCGTCCGATCCGCGTGTGCCTAACGGCAACCAACCTGGTGCTCTCCTTGAGGAGAACGCCATCCCCGTCGTACATGACCATGAGCATCGCCTCCACTTGCCCTATCGGGAAAGCTTTAAGCGTCGGAATGAAGAATTTCCAAGACATCTCAGCGTTCTCCATGCCCGAAATCTCCTTCAGGAACCAGATGGCCTGGTCACTTTTCACCCAGTTTCCAGCCTCGCGTCCGGTCTCCTTCAGCACACGTTCCTCGAATAACTCCGAGACTCTCTTTGAATTGATGACCAAGCCGTCGAAATCGCACGAGAGCAGTCTCATCAACTCCTTCGCCGCCTCCCGTCCTGCAACAGTGCCCACGGTCTCCTCGTAGTTCGGGAGGTATTCACCCAACCTCGTCTTCGAGGGAACCACAATCTGGCAAGTGACGGCCTCATCAGGGATAACTCCCGTTTCCCTTAACTCTGGATTGATCTCTCGCCTATCGGCAAGATAATCCTCCTTCCCATCCAGTATCACAAGATTGTAGGTCATCTTGCTCGCCGCCCCACTAGGCCTGAACTTCCTGCTATCATCCAACTGGTCAGGAGCAAAGGGTCCACTAGGGGCGGCTGCACTCACCAGAGGCGCTCCTCGCCCAGAGCAGAGGTGCTTCTTGTGAAAGTTCACCATCTGATTCAGCTGCGATAGTGCGTAGGCACGATCCTCCAATGACGCACTCTTCATCCCGGCCTCAGTCAGAGGAGCCTCAGGCTTGTCATAACTCGCCTTTCCGCCCCATCTCGCCGCGACCAGCTCAGCAGACTTCACAGGGTCGATCATATTTCCCGACCACTCAGGCATGTTGCTCAACCTCCTAGTCAACGCGTCTACCGACGCAGCCAAGTCTTCGTCCGTCACGGTGTAAGGGTCGACCTTCTCCCTGTCCTCTTGACCCACATCCGGAAGCCTATAATCCCCGCGGATGGCCTCCATTGCGGCCCTCTCGGCTTCCTCAGCCTCCTTCTGCGTGGCCACTGCTCTCGGAATCAAGAGCGCTACCTCGGCCGGCAACGACTTCTCCATGTCTATCGGAGTGTTCTTGGGAAGGATCCTTCGATCATCTCCCTCCCCGCTGTACTCGTAGTCAGGAGCAGTCTTCCGGTACTCCTCGAAGGTAGCCCCTTTGAAGTTGGTGATCCCACTCGGGTCTGTCTTCCCAGCCTCAGTACCCCGAGGCGTGGGCTCCTTCGTCCCGGTGGAATCCTTCTTGGAGCCTTCCTGATCCACG